GAAGGAAGTACCAGGTGAAAACTGTGACAAATTCTCCAAATAAAACCTTAAAGCATGCAACTGAATTTAAAATGGAAGTCAGAGACCTCTAGCCCTAAGTATTACGTTCAGAAACAGAATTGTTGTGTGCCTTGATTTTTAATTGCTAATGTACTTTCTCTTGAGCTCCTTCTGCCAAACTCCTATGTGGACAGTTCTTCATTTATATACAAGTTAAAAAAACCCACTTGCTATGCTTTCTGTAGGTGTAGCCCTGAACCCTTGTTTTTGTGGTACATGCAGTATTTCCAAAGTTATCATGACCTGAAGGCGAGGGCATCAAATAAAATGATGACCCAAGAAGATGTGGTAGCTTGATTTTGAACACGACACAAGTCATAAAAGGAATAATTTTTTTATTGTATTAATTAAGTTGCAGGGACTGTTAAGTTAAACTTAAAATAACCCTTTTAACAGTTGTTGAGGATAATGAATTACCCAGGAGGAGTTAGAGCCTGCAGCTGCCAAGTAAAGTGCTTGGAGACTTGAGATAGAAGTGAAGGATAAGAAGCAGCTTTCATACATTCAAATAAATTACATGTTGGGCTTGGCTTAATCCTGGCATCAGAATGATCTCAGGGGTTTTCCCTACATTATCTTAGTCTATGATTATGCAAATATCCTTTTAATGTAGTGACTCCTTAACAGGAAATCAGTCTCATACTTGCTCATATGCTCTTGCAGTCAACAGACACTTGCTTGCAAAATCCTAGTGTGTCTGAGATACAAAAGGCACATTAACTGTTTTAAGTACCAAAATTTTGCAAACATACAATAACAGGACATGCCCAGATATGTCAAGGATATAGCAGATGAATCAGGAAAGAGATGTTTCCTAACACAAAAATATTCTTGGGTTTGAAAGTTCAACCAGAATGCAAATGGTACAAAGTTCACATTTGGTTTCAAAGACTGTAAAGAAATCATGAGGGGGGGACAATTTTATAGAAAAGCAGGATTGAAACTGAATAAAATATGGAAATGAGACAAAGCATAAAGACAAAAGAAATGTAATCATTAGTGTTAAATGCAGAGCAACCTGCAGAGCCCAGGTAATCTACTGACATACCACAGTGACGTTGTTTTCAGGAACTGCACTGAAATGGGGACTGTGAAGGTAACTTGCTTTGTCTGGAGAACAGGAATTTAAAAATGACATTTTAAAAGAGATGTTTCATCTGGAAATACAGCTGGTTTCCTTTGGGAGGTGAGGAATTGAAATCACAAAAATTGTGCTGTGTTACTTGTGGTAGTATTTATATCTGAGGAAGCAGGAGAGCTTAGTTCCTGATTTCTTGCTTTTGTAAATTTCTAGGTGAAATTAGTTTATGTAACCTTTTTCCTTAAAACTACAGGTTTCTAGAATAGAAAGAAACAGCAGTTAAGCACTTGAGGATGAACTGGGATACACTAGTGATATGTTGCAGCTTGTACTCAAGGTGATCCCCCCTGTGCTTTCCCCCCCTCCACTGAAACAAAGACAGCTAAATCCTTGGGGAGCCTAATGAAACTAAGCACCTAACTTTCCAATGAGATTTAGGGTAGTATCTGATTCATTCAAGCTCTTTTGAAATTCCCATCAAAGTGAACTGTTCAAGGCATGACCTTAAGGTAACACTCGAATCAGCCACAAAATCTAGACTTCCAGCTCTTTGTTTTAAATGTAAGACCTATTCTTTCTTCTATATCCAGCGTATTCTGTTTGTAATTACCAGAAATTACCATTAGAGAAATCGGAGCTAATGTGAGGCTCATTAAGGAGCAAGAATTTATGTTTAACTATTTTAAAAAATTCTTGTTGATCTGGTTTCTGGAGATCAAACCTGTAATTTTATCTGTCATAGATGAGAGAAACTTGCTAGTACAACAGCACAGTATCTTAGAGGAAAAAAACTCAACACACATATGCAAGTATAGAGAGAGAGAGAGAGAACGTTTGTAAATGCTATTCAGACTACGTGAATTTCCACAATTCCCCATTAAATCCCACCTAGACAAACTCACTTAGCCCATTTTCTGTACTGAGCACTAGCCAGTCACTAGTCCTCTTCTGACTGTTCTAGCAAAATCCAGTAGATGCTAGATTAAGCCTGAAGACTATAGAAAAATCTAAAAATTTAGTTTTTCAAAACGCTTTTGATTTCAATAGATTAAAATCCTAAGAAACAGACAATGGTTGAGCTTACTTTCGAGGTTTCATCTCCAAAATAATTTTGCCATGGTGCACTCAGTGTGCTGAAACCCTAGCACTCCAATTTAGCAGAAACATGACGCTGTGCTAATGATGTCAACCAAAAAATAGTGAGATTTTATTTACCATCTGATTTACATAATAAAACCTTGGGCAGTACCAGGATAAATGCCTGAGAGCTCTTTTTCAGATTCAGGGACCTAAAAATTTGCTTTTTTAAAAATCACATCAGGTAGCATTCTTCTGGACTAACAGCTTTTAGCATAAAGCTGGCTTGAAATAAAACCAAATATAAAGATCCACCAACTTCTAGGAAAGCTTTGATGAGCTCGTAGCAAAGGGCCGTCACAGGCACCTCTACACCCTCTGCTACAAAAGTCTCTCAGCTCAGAGGGCTCTGGGTCTGTAAGGCACAATCTAAATTTCACCTAACAAGTAGGAAAAGAAAACAAAAAAAAAGCCTGCAAGGGCTCACCTCCCCTTAGAACAAAACCTAAATGAAAGTCCAAAGTGACTTGAAAAATGAAGCAGTCTCCTAATTTCCTTATAGCTTACAAATCTCTAGAGATAACTCCCTTCCGCAGGAATGCCTAAATTTGAATCTCCTCAGAGCTTTTTTAACACTTTTGTAATTAGGAAGGATTAATATCAAACTATGTATTTTCTTCTACTGCTTGATACAATAATAATCCATTTAAAGTGCTCCAGGGAATTTTTTGCCCATTTGCCATCTCCTGTAAAATAACAAGAAATTGTTGCAAACCTATATGTCAAAAAAGCATGGCAAAAAACAATTTAGAGGAAGGCTACTGGTTTATTTGTATTGTGCCATTAGACAGTGAATTTTTTTGATGTTAACTTTTAAATTACAATTTCAGAGATAAAGCAAATAGGATGCCAGTTGTTCAGGCATTACAGCTTTCACTACAGAACATATATTGGCATCATAACTGCTTACTCTAAGTTACGAGTTCTATCTTTTAATGTTTCAAGATGCTGTATTCTGCAGTTTTATTTCCTTCTTGGAAAGCAAACAGGATGTTTGGTAGGAAGTTACTTTTATTGAGAAATGTTGGAACTTACTTAGCTTTTTGGATGAGCCACTTGAAACGAGAATTATGTCATTTTGACATAAGCCTATCTGGTGATACTAAACCCAGATAATCGGCTCAGTGGAGATCAGGCTTTCGCTGCAAACATATAAAAATATCTAGCTGGTTTTTTAGCCCACAATTCACATCAGCAAATTATATTCACTTAAAAATTATGCGAGCTTAGAAGTTTTAAATCACATGAGCAGTTTTCCTACTTTTTGTTCTACATAATTGGATCTGAACTGAAAGAGCATTCTGAACACTCCAAAAACAGTAATCATTTCACAAGTTTATGAAGCCACCAGAGTTGTAAAGGCATTAATTTCTTTGATGAGAGTTCATATGAGAAGAGTGCATTTAGCTAATTTCCATATCACTGGATGGGACTCAAAATATCTTGGAATCCTGTGTGACAAAACTTCTTAGCTACTATAGAAATTGGATGTTTTACACAAATTTTAGAAAGGCTACAGAGTGGCAAATTGGAGCTGGAAGAGAAAGTGAATATTTGTAATTAGCATGACCCTAGAGGAATATATTTGGCAAAAAAACCTTTCCTCGTGAGTGTTCTTTTATGGTTTGTTATTATACATGCAAAACAAACCAACACTAAGCATAAATATACTTCTTTATACATTCCTTATACTTACAAAACATCAGCATTATGAAATAATACAATTATGAACTATCCTGAAAGCATCATCAGAATATCACAGGAATTTACTTTTTGCAGAAATCAGGCAGTTTAAATATTTGCCACTGACAAACAAGCGTCTAATACTGAAAAAATGTATTGATAAACATATAGCCAACAACCTGCAGTAAGGCAGTGATAACCACTATTTCACAATAACCAAGGTCACCCACACCCCGTAAGGCTTAAGGGTTGCACACTGCAGGTACAGCACTACAGGGAAGCTGTAGTAGGTATAGCACTGTAGGGAAGGACTAACATGCCCAACATTTACAAGACATTGAATTTAACTGTCATCTCCAGGAAAAGGGGAAAGTGGTGTCTGCTATCTCCAGCACCAGCCCTCTTATCTTTTGCCCTGGCTCTGGTTCTCTGTGAACACACCTTTGACTGGTGGCTTATTAAGAAATAATTTAGTCATTTTCTTTGCCCAACTCCCACTTTTAGGTTGAGGAGTTAATTCACCTCATGGAAGCTCAAAAAAACAGTCGGAACGTTGTAAGAAAAAGTGGTGGGAATGCACGGCCCCTAGTAGAGAATAAGGTCACAGTCAGTGCTTACCCTGTCTCAATTCACCCTTGGGAACAGAGTCTCAACACTCAGTCTGAAAACTGGTCACTGAAGGCTTACACTAATGCCACTGGGGAGCCATTGCAGAAGATTTTGAAAGGCACTGTGTCATAAATATGCAATACTACATTTTAATGAGCACTTTGATTAAATCTACCTTAGGGGGGCTAATCAGAGGTCATAAAAAGCTGTTTTAAAGTTGCAATAAACAAAATCTTGCTCAAAGTGAAGGAATGTAAAGATGTAAAAACCAGACAAGACCCACAGCAGTCTTTCAGTAACAACTACAAAATACCCACTATAAAATTATGTGTTTCCTACTCATTAGAATGACAATTAGGAGAATTTAAAAATACGTATGCTACAGGCTTAAGTAAAAAAAAAAAAGACCTATGAACATGGCATGAAGGAATCACAGTTCAAACAATGCTTTAAACTTTATTAACTTCTAATTAAGGGGTTGTCCTCACTTTTTTTCCTGAAGAATAAAAGCTACTACAACTTTCAGAAGTAGAGAGTTACAACAACGTAAATGATGTAGAATTACAGCAGGATCAGCCAATGCAGGTTGTTGAAATGTCAATTTTTAAGGCACACAGACAAAATGTCAGGTTAGTTCTCCATAGCCGTTCAAAATCTTTTTTTTGCATCTCAGTTTTCATTCCTGCTACTGTAGCGCTCAACAGGATTCCCAAATAGCAATTCAGTTGTCTTGAAGTCTCCTTTTCTTCTCGGATGTGTTGAACAGTCTAAAACTGCCTGCTGGCATCTGTCAATCCCCTGAGTATAACAGCACCCCCTTCTGGCTTCAAGTGTGAGTTGAAATCTGGAACTCCCATCACCATGTAAGAAACCTGGACAGGAGAAACAAGGTAAAAGTGAAAATATTCTAAAACTAGGTATTTAGTCTCAATAAATAGGCAAAGGAATACTAATGCCACTACAGTAGCCCAACCTATTCAATTTTAGGGGCTGAGGTGCAATTTTAGAAAGGTTCTCATGGGACATGAGGTAGCTCTGTGCAGGTGTGGCAGCCAGCATGTCTTCATCACTGTATGCAGTGGCAGCACTCCAAATGCCTGCTAATGCAGAGACTCACTGACAGCAAGCCTCCTGTCCAGCTGCTTCATCCTCCAGTGTGGGCATAAAGGCTAATGATCCAAGTCCCTGTCTGTTCTGGGCTCATGCAGCCTGAGCAACCATTTGTCATTTCTTCTGATGAAAACGTGGTGGGTGCAGTGGATTATCTGATAGGACGACTCTGCAACAAGTTAGCCTATCCTGTTTAATTACACCACCACTTTGGCCAAGAAATCCCTTTATAATCTCTGTACTGGTATCTTTAAACTTGCTTATGTTTTCAGGAAGAGGTGTCTCAAACTCTGAAGTGTTATGCTACCACTGTGTTTTGCCATACAAGCTGTACATTGCTTTTGTAAGAACTGTTTCGGGGATCCTTCATGTTATCTTATGTTATCTATGTTATCTGTGTGCTTTTACTCCAAACACTTTCTTAAAAAAACTTTAAAAACTGATAATTGCTGCAGTAGAAAACAGAAAGTCAAGGTACTTCACTACGTGAGGGAAAGAGGTGACAGTAATCAGTGAAACTCTAATTGCAACCAGCCAAGTCTGCTGAAGGAAAAACACAAATTCACAAAACCCCCCAACCAATGTGCCATACAAGTAACACCAGGGATGGACTGAAATCAAATCTGATCCTGCAAGCTGAAGAACAACTGTGGGTGTTCAGACGTCCCTGTACAAATTAGCTAACTAGGCTGGGGTTTTCTTAGTCCACTGCTTTCACTGGTAATCCTTGGTACTGTTTTGTTTTAAAAAGCAATTGCACTCCATGTTGTAAACAGGTGCTAAATATGCACAAAACACACTTGACTATTAATATATTTTTTTTTGTTGCATTGTGTGGAAAAGGAACATTATTTCAGGCATAGATGTAATTGCCGTGGTAACAAAGTAGACTGGGGGAAGATGAGCAATACTGAAGTTTCCTGAGTGGGAAAGAAGACTAAAGTGATGGTGTCATCTGAGTCCCTCCCTCCAAACAGATCATCTGTACAGATAAATTCACACCTGAATATAAATGTTGTTGACATTTACAAGATCCCGTTTTCTCCAGCTGGATGTTTTGAAGGATCTAGCCCATGCTGCTTCATCTGCACTGCGATATCAAACAAGTAATCATAACACTCACACCTAAAATTAATTAAGAAAAAAAGTGAAATGTAAGTAAGGCTCAAGTCTTACCATGTTTTATGAAAACTACTATTTTCTTTCCTTCAGCTTTATATCACCAGTGCAACAGTCTAAAGGGACAGCCCTATTACTGTTATTTCCAATCCTGTGGTATGGCAAGTGCCCAGCATTTTTATTGCATTTCTATCAGCAGATGAAAGTAAATTCCAAAAATGGTACTAGGGAAGACTGTACAAACAGCATTGGCAGATGTCATAAAAAAGCAGGGATTCCCTGCAGGTTTCATATGAGGAGGGACTTGTCCATATGAAAGAAAAATGTTGGCAACTTTATTAGCCAACACTGATATGAAAGAAAAATGAAGCAATGAAATCATGGATGAACCCACTCCCAAAAGCTCCCTCTGCATGCAGTGAGGCCTTAATGCTCTCAGTCATTGTCCATGGGCTTAATGTCCATGACATTAAGTTCACGAAGATTTTGAGGTATAGCAGCAAAAGACAGCACGTTGCTAAGTTGTACTCACATTGTTTTGGCTTTTTCCCATGTTCCTCCCCATACATAAACACCATGACGTCTGACCAATACAGCACAAGAGTCTGGGTATTTTTCCATTGCATGTGCCATTCTTTCCTTGAGATCCTTCTCTTCTGGTGTATTTTCAATAATGGGAACCACTAGCGTATCATCATATCTAAAAGAAATATGAATGTTCATGTATTTAAAAAACCCCTGTTGCTTGGATCTATGAAGTTTTTCCCAAAGAAAGAGATTGTCCTTTGACTGTGTAAAGATGTTAATAAATTTTCAGCACTAATGATTTTATGCTCTTCTCTTGTGAGTCATGCTGTAACATAAGAATTCTCAGGAACATCACTCACTCCCAAACACATACTATGCTGGCAATACCTGAGCTAGACTTGAGGCACAAAAAGAAAAGAACACTTTAATCTATTAGGTGTAGCTGTTTATTCACACATCACTTTGTAGTTGGGTCTCTTTACAACTTTTTCAAACTCTCCATCCTGTATTGGCATCATCTACAAGCTTTACCTTAGATTAAATTATTTAAAAGAATCATATCATGAAGAAGGAAATGAAGCTGTTTGCTGGAGAACAGAAAAAAATTAATTTAGGTAGTCCAAAAAGCCCCTGGAAGATTGTCCTTCTAAGGCATATAAATAGAAACTAGAGTCAACACATGAAAAATAAATTCTCTGTGATGGAGTCATTGGTGGGCTACATGTGATCTTAAGAGAGCCTCAGAACCCCAGTTCCAAAGACAAGATGATGCATGTTACTCAGTGGAACTTGCCTAAGTGTTTCTTCTGAAGGAGGACTGGGATATTTGGCATTGTTTGAACCTTAATTAACACTGGCAGAAACTTGTTTAAATAGTTTTAATAAGTCCCCACTTCAGGTTCAGGTTTATCATTGAGATCACTTAGATATTTCATGAGTGGATGCTCGTAGTACTTACTTTTATAAAACACAGAAAGGAGGCAATGGTAAAAAAACCCCAAAAGCAACAGCTTGTACTTCAAATCCAATATTCAGAAAATGAAAGTCTCATCCCTTACAGTTTCCAATGCTGCTGCTTTCTCAAGGAAGCTATAAAAATAGCCAATGGAGAAAATAAAGTGGCATTGCAGTTTTACTTTGACTCTTATATATACTGACCACCAAAGCTGGATTTGAGGCCAAGTGAGTTTATCGATTGGCTTCCTATGTTCTGCTTTCTATGTGAGCTTGGAAGCAGGTATAAATACCATAACTGATCCCTAATCACAACCATAAGCTTTTTATCAAAAACTAGTATCTATAAAATGTCAAGAAGACTCTGAATGAGCTGATATCTCTTTAGTTTTATGGAAATATAAGCAGCCTACATCTAGTCAAAACTTAATTTAAAATACTTTGTCATAGTCTGGATTTTCAAAGCTATTTACTACTGATCTAATTCTCCTTCTACAGAAGTTGAAGGGAAAACTACTCTGGCATCACTGGAGTCATATTTAGGCAAAAAACCCACTTCTGATTATCATATCTGTAGCATTTTCCAGGATAGCTTCCAATGAGAAACAACATACTTTCAATCCATTTTTTGAAAGGTTCCATTTTCTACTATCAAATTTCTTTGGAATTCAATGGGGAGCCTTGTGTGAGGCAGGACAGTGGAATCATTCTAGTATGGATAAATATGTGGTTATGAGCTATATAATCTGAAACTTTGATTTCTTTACTTTTTCTGGTAAAGTAACAGGATGATACCAGCAACTTGGAGGTGTGGAACCCGATACATATGATGTCTCCTGACTAACATACAATGTCTCCTGACTAATATTTAGCAATATTTGAGAGTTCAAAATGCATATCCAAAATAGAAAATTGATGTGGATGTTTTTAAAACCAGTGCTGTTAGAAAATTCAATACAAGGGATTGTATTTTGCCACATTAAAAACGCACATGCTAATGCTGACAAGAAGGTAAAGTTGGCAAGTCAACCCTAATGGAACAAAATATGCTCAGGCATAAAATCACACATGTCTTGCTCCCTTGCCAAAGGGCAATAGTTAGATACAAAAATTAACATCAAAAAGTGGAAAGAATTTAGCATTTCAATTTCTCATCTACTTGTCACATGTTATATAAATGTTGTTTGCAGATCCCAATTCAACATTCTGTGGGTGGAGACCTCAAAACAAGCCATCACACATAATTTGGAATAACTCAGCACTTACCTCAGAGCTCATCCTTGAAAAGTAATAACATTATCTTTAATGAGCTGTTTATTCTGAATTTTCTTTCAAACTCTGTCAAGTAAAATCTGAAATCCTCTACTCTCTTAACATGCCCTAAACTAGCACAGGCAGTGATATGCGAAGTCCACCCAAATGTAGTTTTTACATGCTATCAATCCAACCTAATGCTAGTTGGCTCCAGTTTCAGCTTAACACTGTGTCAACATCTCAGGATGCAGCTCCTAATTTGGCTTGCTGCTGTAGCTCAACAGACCACAGTAGCCTTGACATTACAAGATTTTTATCTCAGATCTCTTCCAGGGGCTTGCGACCTTACAGAAAGCCAATGACTCATTTATTCCAGAGGTCTTTTAACTTCTTATTCCTAACACTTTGTATTACACACTTTATGCACATAACTTGAATGATTCATCATCTATTTATATTGTTGAAAACAAATGATCAAATATCATGCCTCTTAATTGTTAAGTATAGAGAAGTACCTGTAATAGCCTCCTGAAGTACATTTCTGGATTCCTTTTATCATCTCCTGATGGGTAATACGGAACTCAGTCCCTGGGTAAAGAAGGGTAGCCATAACAGCAGCCTTGGAATGAGTATGGATCACTGCACCTGCCCCTAAGAATATAAGAAGTACAAAAAAAATTAGAGTTAGTTTAAAAATGTATCTATTAGGAAACTTTTATTCACATACTTGATTTAATACCTTTGATTGGGCATCTTAGCAAATGGTGATCTATTGCATTAGAGGAAAAAATATACAGCAACCTAAATGAAGGTATGAGATCTTTACTCACCTATAAAGGATAGTTATGGATCGTCTTAGGACACTAGTGCTAACTTTTAGTTAGTGACAAATTCCAGGAGACAAACTACTTGTATAAATTCAAGGAGAAACACTACTTGTACATTTCTTTAGGTACTGCAGTGACTAGAACACACTATTTATTTTATCAGAGTTCTCAGATTTTAAAGCATTTCCAAACTGATTTGTGAAATGAAAGTTTAGAGACTTTTACTTTGTTTTTATGTCTTCTTCAATTATCCACTGATTCTCTGAAAAAACACCTGTTGTTACCTTACTGCATCATGACGGAAAAACAGGCAGACAATAATTATAATCTACTTATAAAGTTGCAATGTTGCCATTCCTCAGGTACACAGGTAAGCTTCTTGTGCAGGAAGACTAGAAGAGACTCCCTAAATCCTTTTTAAAACAACAGATGTAAATCCTACACATCAAAAGCTCTATATTACTGTCCACCTGCAAAAGAAAAGTTTCATACCTTTTTCACCTATTCATAATTCATAATTGTTAATCTCAGCCAGTGGATGCAACGGGATCTAAACCATAGCTGCTGAATAGGCAAAACTAGGTTTAAAACTGCTGTAAATCCCTCAGCTTCCCCCACAACCTACCAATATTCTGCACTAAAAATTAGTGATGATGATCAAGGAATAGTTATACAAGAAGATGAAATTGTAAATCACACTGATAGGATGTTACTATGGATTCCCTTCCTATCTTTGCAAATCAATTTATTTTACAGTTTCATGTTTGTTTCATTGTAACTTCTATACATAAAGAATATGGTATTGAATATCAATTTTGTGGATGTATATTTACAGTGTTTCAGACATAGCTCAACTAAAAACATTTGCTACATACCTCTCATAGTGTAGGCATTCATAAACAGAGGTGTGCATTGGCTTTTCTTTAGCTTCTTGTGCAGTGGAGGACCACTGATGTCCTGTTCATTCATGTCACAAACAAACATATCTTCTGGCTGTAAGAATGAAGAAACTATTTTGACCTGTGATGACGACTTGAATAGCTTTGTTTTCCTTCTAGGGAAACAAATACATATGCACCACATATTTAACATACATTTTATATGTATACATTTATAGATATATTATTTAATAACTTTATTAAAGTGCTAGAATGTACCACATTTATTCAAGCTTCTCATAGTACTTAATGACATTGTGTAATAGGAATTAATTTTAGGTACTCTTTTTATTAGGAATGATGCCAAGCGGGTATTTGTAAAACTACTGCCTTCTCAGAAAGGAGGCAGCCTGTATTAAATAACAGAAAATAGATCAAAAGGAAAAGTAGTAACTGATTTAAAAAAAAAAAAAAAAGTAGATGTACTTTTCTTTCCCAACTTAAACAACCAACAAAGGACACAAATTAAACTTACAAATAACCTATTCAACTTGCAGAACTATTTCTTTTTAAACCTTGCCTTTAGTAGCTTTACATGAATGGTACATTTGCATCAATTAGATACTCATAATAGTACAAAGAATTGTTAAGGGAACTAATAAAACTTTCTTTTAAACGTTATCTTAACAGTCAGCAGAAAATACAGTTGCAAGAGATTTCCTCACTCACTGCATTCAAGTCACTGCTACAGATAGCACAGAACAGACTATCATGGTTATCTTACGTACCTCTGCCTGCCTTACTTGTCCCCAAACACTGCCACGAAACCCCATGTTTCTGTCAGTGAAGGGATTCCTTTTACTCCTCATGATATTTATCCTCAGAGCTATGAAATGACAAATCCTTTCCACGCATTATGCTATTCTGGGGGAGTTCCTGCTGTCATCAAATAGTTATCATTTACCATTCTCCCCTTTACTTACATTTTGGGGTTTTTTTTGGAAAAGAGACAGATAGACAAGGTCACCTTTGCATGTGGAGAGCCCAAATATTTACTGAGACTATCAAGAAAAAATATTTGTAATCACTCAAATGAAAATAAACAGTGATGAGGTGTTAATGCTTCTTTATGTACGTGCCAGAGTAACTTGAAACTGTGGCCAGACAGTACAAAGATAATCAAGACTGACAAAGAATAAAGCCGCACTTGAGTTCAAATCTCACATGGTTTTGTGTTGATTTAAAGCAAAGAGATCCTCAAGACTAATATACACTGAAACACATACTGGCTTGCTATGGTAGTGGAGTACTGGGAGAAATCATCAGTTGTTCCAGTAAGGTAGTCAACAGTATAACAAGTTTCCAACTTCACATAAGAAAAAATGAAACTCTAAACAAAGGCAGTTTCATGCATTTCAAGATGAGCTCTGAGGCAAAAGTACACCTTAACATACCTGTATTCTTTCCTTTTGGACTCCTGAAGGAGCGATGTAGATTTCATTCCTATGAAAAGTTGCAGACCAGGAAAATCAGTAAACACAGCTGAACAATGACTTTTCAACTGCACAGGCATTGGAGCTCTTGATCCACTGAAAAGGAAATAGCAAATCTAGCCCCTAATAATTTTCTTGCTCCTTCCATACATTGACATGTAGAACGTCTTCCAAATAGAACCAAAACATAAAAAGGCCTATAAAATCTTTAACTTGTGGGGGCACAAACCCCTGCTTTCAACTTTGTAAGAGATCTGAAACACAGGTAGGAAGTGTAAAAAAAAAAACAAAGCACCTCTCCCTGCTATAATTCAAACTCTAATTCCCAGAATTCAGAATAAAAATTAAATAAGAAATTGCAAGCAGATACTGATGTGTCACAAAGCAGGTCACAAAACTATTACTAAAAAATCCACAGACTACCCATCAACAGTAATAATTATCTGTAGCATTCTTCAGTATAAATACTTTACTTTTTAACTGTGTAGTTTAGGGGTTTTGTGCAGTTATATATTTATTTGTATTGATAAAGAGATAACACTGATACAATGAAATTAAATGAAATTCAAGTAGAAGTGCATGAAGTGCATCACTTCTTGCAAGGTCTACATGAACAAAAACTATAAAAATTGATTAAAATTAAAATTATTTTAAGATGGTATCTGAATTATTCTCCTTATTAGCAAAAAAATCCCAACTAGATTAGCTCTCTCAATTGTAATCACTATTTGGCCTCAACAGTCACATAGTAAATTCAGGAGCACAGAGACATCTAGTGAATAATTAGTTAAGTTACAGGTACATTTCCTACCGACCATGAGAAGTTTGTGTTTCTGGACAAGAGCAATGGAGATGGTGAAGGGTTCGGATCACAAATCTTATGAGGAGTGGCTGAAGGAGCTGGGGTTGTTTAGCCTGGAGAAAAGGAGGCTCAGGGAAGACCTCATCACTCTCTACTAACTACCTGAAAGAGGTTGTAGCCAGGTGGGGGATCAGACTCTTCTCCAAGGTAACAAGTAATGGAGAACTGGAAATGGCCTCAAGTTGCACAAAGGGGGGTTTAGATTTCATATTAGGAAAAGTTTTTTCACTGAAAGGGTTGTCAAGCACTGGAACAAGCTGCCCAGGGAAGCAGCTGGCTCACCATCTCTGGAAGTGTTCAAAACACTTTAGGTGCAGTGCTTAGGAATGTGTTTTAGTGGTGAACTTGGCAGTGATAGCTTTATAGTTGGACTCGAGGATCTTAATGGTCTGTATCAACCTAAACAACTCTGTGATTTTAACTCTTCCAAAAATAAAACCTCTTATGATGATGTACATCAAAATGTAGCTTTATCACATTTGTAGTTTTTAACATTCATGAATTAACACTGCCAACATTGCATTAATTTAGTCTTAATTCCTTTGCCTGAGCAAGATGATTGAGAGAACAGCATATTGAGAAATCAAGTGGTGATTCAGCTACTAATGAAAGACAGGTAATTTTTTTTTTAAACAGACTTTTTTCTTTTTAACCAGAAAGGAAAACTGATGATGAAATACAGCCTTCAAAATACAAGATACCTGACAATGAATTCTAGATCCATTTTTTAGTATGTTATCCTGTGTCCAAAGTGGCTTTTTTTTTTTTTTGAGTAGTTGATATGAACATTGAGTAATGCTGATTAGGATTAGCTGGTAAAACCAGTTGTTACGTTTGAATCAAATTGTAATTGTTCACTATTTCCTATGTAATGATTCTAAGACAGTCTGATTTCTGCCTTATAACTTCTCATTTTGAGACAAAGCTACTGCTACTGTAGATATAAAGCAGTATAGTACACACACACAACAATTCCTAGACCATGTACAATATTGATATCAACTAAAAAAATGTATTTATTTAGGTGTAGTCTGTGCAACCAAGTAATAGAACTGTTGAAGAAAACCATACTACTGTGTTAGTGAATTCTCTGATAATGCCATTTGTCTTGCCATAACCAACATGAGTCACACTGAAATGACAAAGAAAAATACGCTGCATTTAGCTACTGATGAAAAATTAGTGCTAGAAAGATCTTTCCATAGACAAATTTAAAAACAAAAATTAACCCTCTTATCATTGCTCTCATTATTATTACTACTCTGGCTTTGCTGGCAAAATCAAGCAGGGAGGTGAAATGGCCTGCACAAAGTCCAAACAGCACAAATATTTGCATTTAGAATCTTTTCTTCCTATATATACATATATATATAATATATATATTTGAATAGCAATGGCTGTTTGTGCATGCATGCAAGTGTATATTAGAAAAATGAGAAGTCAGACACTCTCAAGATAGTATCACAACCCTGTGACTGGGGACAGAATTGCAGGCTCTGTGTAAGGCATTTTGCAGAATGAGGACTTTTTTAGTGGCCACTGAGAGGAGCTCTGTCTCCACTAAAAGCTTGGGAATTATGAATAGGGGGGAGACAAGCAAATTAAAACAGAAAGCGGTGCTTCTTAGTAGCAGATATACACCAAAATTGTTGCTATTACCTGTCCTGCTTTAATTATATGTTAAGTATGTCTCCTTAGAAATTATCTCAGTAGAATAGTAATCTGCTTCTTAAAGGAAATTACTTGCCTGCAAAATGTGTAGGGTGAGATTGATCTCATTTAACCACAGGCATTTGAAAGTCGTGTGCCTGGTGTAACCCACTCTAAATTCCATAGTCAATGGAATGAAAAAGAGGGAATGCATTGTTCTTTAAAGACAATTCATCTACCTTAAACAAAGATAGGAAAAGGACAGAAAAAAGTCACCCTCTGAAGTTGTCTCTCTCCATTGAACGGAATGCAGTGATTAATTCAGACTAGTCATCTCCCTTCTATATGGTTAAATTTGGCAGACTGCTCATTTCCCCCTCCACCTTCTTGCTCACTCACTTTCATTTTTCATGGAACAGAAATGCCCTCACCAACCACTAAAGGCAGCCAGCCCCTCTCCAACCATCACATTGTTTCTCTTTCATCATTACTTACCCATGTTTCAAGCTGATTCCTCCACCAGTTCCCGTCACCCAGCCTAAACCATAAAACAGTCTACAAAGCTCTGGGATAAGATTCCTTGGATGTAACTTATCCTAGAAATAAATTAAGGAAATAAATAAAAAACATCAGATAAGCCACAAACCTAAGAATTTAAATTCTGAAACTGAGTTTAAAGGAGTACTACCTTTGTATTGCAGTACAACAGTCTAATTTATGCTTATGAACTTCACACACAAAATGACTGCGAGTTTCCATTATGCCTTTTAGGCTTTGCCAGGGACACTCACACCTTGAAACAAACAAACAAACCCCCTATATAAAATGCACATCTGATTATCCTTCACAAAAAAAGGTCTCATTTCGAGTTTGAGTGCAGCAGCCCACAGATATTACACCAGCCAGATTATGTCATGCACTATTGCCACAAGATAAAAAGGGAAAATAAATGCATCTAACACACATTTTGAAAAGCTCAGCTAATAGTTTTTCCCATCCAATGTTTTCTGTAAGTTTATTTTGCTTGATTTACAAATTTCAGTAGAACAGATTTTAGTAGTTGTTGTATATTTTTAAATAGCAGTCAACAATATCATAGAAAATATAGTCAAATTATTTTGTGAACTTCACATTCCTGTATTTTTACAATGTGAGGTTACTTCACATGCAGTTTAGCCAGAAGGCAAATTGCATTATTTTAACATTTCTTTCAGAAGGAAAAAAAGTTCTAATTTTTTTCCATATTCCATTGCTTATTACATCAATAACTAAATCTGTATCTATATACTAAACAAAGGTATCTGTAGTGTCAGAGATTCATTTATAGTTAATCTAAAACAGAATGGCTTTACAGTGCAAGTCAAAACTATTCATTGGAAATCCCAAAAATGATTCTGCACTGAACGTATACAACTAAGAAAGCTGTACCTCACAGGTAGTGGTCTTTAATAAGTGAGGACTACATTGGAAAACAAAAAAAAATTGAATATTGGAATCATTTACCTGAGAAATGTAACCAGTAATCACAGAGAAAGCTGTGAGATGCTACTTTAATCCATGCTGCATGCTTGAATTTATGTATTTATGCATTGTGTGGAGTATTTCTTTCAGCTTATGTGAATAAAAAGCCAAAATCTTTCCCCATTTACCAGTGTAAAAATAAAAATTGTATGTGCTTTCGCAAAGATCCTGATACGACTGACTGAACTCATCAACTAGGAAATTAAAATAGAGAAACAGAAAATACATTTATGTTAATTTATCTCCCAGAGATAGGATAATATTTCCACCTCATTACCTCAGTAATACAGCCACTTTTTCTCTTGTATGGGTTTCATCTGAACTGGGATTCAGTTCAGATGCTGTTCCTGCCTCCTCTGATTTCCTTTCTATTATTGAAAGCATCTTTTAATATATTAAAAAAAAAAATCATCATTTTACTCATCTGAAGCAATAGAAACAAGACTCTAACCAGCACTCCTGGAAACTTACGAAGAAGTCAAGATTTTTAAAGAGCCATGAACTGAACACTCATCAGTTCACATACCTGAAACAATTAGAACAGCAAATAAAAGAGTACAATGAAAGAAAAAAGACCCCAGGCCAAATAAACAAACACCTAAACTAAGAGTGAAAAAAACCCCACCAGAGATCTTCCCCATTCACACAACTGAAAATGAAACCCCTTCTTTCCAGCTCTTTGTCACTGAAAATAATAAGATAAATGAAGTTTACTCCGACTAGTGAAACATTCCTCAAATACTAATGACTCTGAAATGTACTGTGGATGGAAAATATTAACACGTGTGTCATTTGTTTACAAATATAAAGCAAGGACATAGTATGTATAAACTATGAGTCCCTGTTTTGTTGTTCTGATTTATTTATACAGAATTAATAGCTGTACATAATTTTTATCTATTCATCTATCTCAAAATTGAGTCCCACAGTATTTTGTGTCAACTCTTATTCAAAATTACATCCTTTGTAATTTATTTTTATTTCTAACCTACAAAGTACACTGGTATTTTTTCACTGTGAAGAAAAATTATGTCTCTTCTATTTTTGATGGAATAAACTTATATTAGACAGGTTTCTATTGCTACTATTTATTAAATGTACACAGCCATAGATTATAATAGATTATAAACCCTAGATTTTAACACTCCAATGGTTGTTACATACTTTTCCCTGTTTGATGAATCTAGACATTTCCTGCAAAATTCATATGCATGGGAGTACATAAGTGCGTTTCACCACTTATTAAAAAAAAATTCCAGAAGTTGAGAAATTCCTCTCATCAAGAATAAACATAATCAAGAAATTTTTACTATTTTCCTGCAGATTTGCAGGATTACAAATCAATCCTCAAAGTTTAACAGTATTTTTCCAGGATAGATGGATATTGATGATAACCATAAACTACCTAAATAAAAGTATTACTGTATTTCATATCTAACATTACTGATAATAAAAATTACAGTACTTCCCATAACTAAAAAAATGGTTCTTGCCGTAATGAGCCAGGGAGTGAACACATGTGAAAGCAGTAGACAACTCAACAGGATTATTCTTTGTCAAATCTCACTTGGCAGTACTTTAAAATTTGATTTTTAAGCTGAAGTACAAGTGCCACTGGTTATCTCTTCCTTCCTATCTCTCAGTTAGAATCTGGCCCAGTACTTTTCTGATACAACTAACATGAACAATTTAGTTCTCTGCTGCTACACAGTTGTCACTGTAGCCTAAATTTACACATGCTGTTAGGTATGAAGAAAAACTCCAAGAATTTCCGTGAACTAAAACAAGTGACTAATTTTTAAAACCATTAAATATTATTTAGAAAAAAAAATTGCTGGTGAACTTCTAAACTGTAACTGAGTGGAAGTATTCACTGAAAGTTTTCAGCAGTCAAATCTAAAGAAATTATTGTATTCCACAAGCCTGTCGTTGCTCAAGGAAAAATATTTTTTCCTATTTTATTCAATTCACTGTACCTAATATAATTTCAAAACCAAAGCAAAACAAACCCACTCTCACAAAACAAAAACCCAGAAAACAATATGGATGTAATGGAATGAAAATGAAGGCAGTCCCAGGTTGCTTGTGGAACAAATTTGTAAAGGTTTTGGGGATAATTTGCAAAAGGTGTAAAACTGAACTACAATGTGGATATTTTTACAGATTGTAGTAAATAAACAGTGCCTGAACTAAGTATCCCCCATTCAGAATTGCTGAGAAATCACTATATTTTCCTCAGAAATAAGCACAGACTGCACAGATGAAATCAGACCACTGACATATCGTATTGACGGGCAGTAAACCATGATGAGGTTTCCTTGAATAGCCATGAAGTGCTAAATCTGATGTGGCAAAACAGATCTGTGCTATGCTGTACACATAAAGTGAGAAAAGTACAATCAATAACCTGGTAGATTTCTGTTTAAAATCTGTCTTCATCATAGAAATGGATCAAATAAATCAAAATAGTAAAAATAATGTCATGAGCCTTTAAAAAAATTATTTTCTACAACACCTTCAGCACCACACAATGACTGTATAATGCAAAAGAGAGGGTATTTTTAGGTTAGAAACAAAATAATTCTAAGGAAGAGACAGGAAAGCGATGTGGTGAGAATTCCTCCTCTGCTTAAAAGCTTTGGACTGTCAATTTTTATAGCAACTACAAACCTCCCACTGAAATTGATCATTTATGGCCTTTTCAGATTTTTTTACTGCAGTAACTAGAAGCTTTAATATTTTATAAAATGACAAATGATTAGCTGCTCTACTGCCCACCTTAGTCATTTATGCCCATGAAAGGACATTTCCAAGACAAACGTTTGTTTAGCAGCAAGAATTCACATTAGAGGGGAGTATTTTGTCAACACCCACAGAAGAGAGGGAACAAAAGCAAAAGAAAAAGCAGCACATCAAAACTGGCAGACAGTTGGTTACTTGGTACCAATATCTTTGCTGAAATATTTAGAAAAAAGTGCTACTGTCCCCCACCTCCTCCAATGCCACAGTGACTCTAAAACTGAATGCTCAGTGATTCCTGAGAGTCTAAAGGGTGTAAGAATCAAGCAAAGAGGAACTGGGATTTTGTGACGCCTCAAGACTGCCTCCTGGCCCACAGAACCACAGCAAGCCAAGGCTTTGCCTAACGCAGTCCCTCTGAACAGACAGAACACCTACACAGTGCTGCAGCTGCTGGACGAAAATGCTTCCAGTTGGTGTTGGACTTGCAGGACAAGGGGAGGCACAGGTGCAAGAGCACAGCAGTGGTTCTGAGGCAGGAGACAGGGAGGGTGAATTAATGGAGATGGCAGCCTGGGGCAAGGTTTGGAGTGTCCTACTTTAACCTCATCTTTATAACCTCCAATGACAGCGAGTCTCAAGATCCTCAGGCAATCCATTTAACTGTCTCAGGTTAGAAATATTTTCCTAATATCTACCCTAAACCTTGCTTGATGAAACTTCATTCTCTCCTCTCTTACCTAACAGTTATGTACATAAAAAAGAGGGTCTTCCCTTTCATCTTTCTAACAATATTTTACATTTTAAGACAACAACTCCATCTGCTTCTCATTTTATTTTATAACTAAGGATATTCTTTCCCTCATTCCTGACAGGCCACATTACCAGTCTGCTGATAACCCCCATTTCCCTGTTGTAGGTCCAAGCTGGTCTCTTGACCAGTGCCACACACAGCCTGGAGAGGAATTTTGAACCCCATCCAGGTCATGTTCCATGTGCTCCAGCACAGTGTTTGCTTCGTCTGATGAAGCACAGCACTGCCAACTCACCTTCTGGTTGCGATTATATATAAAACCCCAATCAAAAACAAACAAACAAACAAAAACAAACAGAAAACCCCATCCAAGCAAAAAAAAAAATCACAAACAAACCTAAAAAACCCCAGAGCTACCATAAAAAGGGCCAGAAGTCCTGTAGCTGCAGCCAGACTGACAGCTGACAACATTTTGGGAACCGCGGGGAATTTCCTTACATCTTGATACAGAATCACAAAACTGTTAGAGCTGGAAGGGACCTCTGGAGATCATCCAGTCCAACTCCCCTGCCAAGGCAGTCACCTGGAGCAGGTGACACAGGAACATGTCCAGGTGGGCTTGAACTGTGTCCAGAGAGGGACTCCATGACCTCCTTGTTCCAGCGCTCTGCCACTCTAGACGTAAGTAAGTTCTTCTTCATGTTGAGGTGGAAATTCTCGCGTTTTACTTTATGCCCATTACTCCCCGAACCCTGGAGGCCGAGCACTCTCGGCTCCTGCCGGCTGCACTGCCCGCTGCCCGCCGGGGCACCGTCGGCTCACAGTCAGCTTGTCACCCACCAAGACTCTCAGATCCTCTCTAATAATTACCAACTGCGAAGGCATGGGCTGATTCCTGCAGTTCCCCGCGCAGCCCCGCCCCGCGGTCGCTCCGCTCCCCAGAGCGCAGGGGACCCCCCGGCCGGTACCTGCTCCGCGTCCCCCGCCGCGGTCGCCATGCCAAGGGGTCCTCGCTCGGGGGCTTCTCGCGGGCGCCGCGGGGCGCCTGCGGAGCGCCTGTCATCCCCTGCCCGCGGCACCGCCCCGAACTGGACAGGACTGGGGTGCCGGGCACCTCCCTCGGGCCGGCAGGTGGCAGTGACTGGGGGAGGTGCGGGGGCGGGCGGGGCGTGGGTGTCCCTGCGGCTGGCGTTTGCCCGTGCCCGGGGCGATAGGGGTGCTCGGTGCCGCGGGCGGGGTGGGCGGGGTCGGTCAAACGGTTGTTCTGGGGGGCTGGGGGCGGGTCGGGTTCCTTCTGGTCAGGCAGTGAGAGGGGCAGCCCCGGCGCAGGGAGCGGGAAGATGGCGGCGTCCCTGCGGCTGGGCGGGGAGCGGGCGCTGAGGCTGCTGCGGGCCGGGCGGGCGGCGCTGGGCGCGGGGCTCCCCGTCCCCGCACGGGCGGGATGGAGGCACCTGCACGGCTCCCGGGAGCTGCTGGGTGAGTGACAGGCTGCCGCGATGGCTGCCCTGCTCCAGGTGTGCGGGCGGGGAGCTGCGGCGGGGAGGGAGGGTGGATGGTTGCGGTGGGTTGACCTTGGCTGGGTGTTCGGCACCCACCGCAGCCGCGCTGCCACTGCCCCGCACCTGCAGGGGAGAAGAGGTACAGGAGGAGGTTCATGTATTGAGGTAAGGGCAAGGGGAGGTCACTCAGCCACTGCTGTCGTGTACAGAACAGACTCGATTTGGGGGGATAGTAATTGAATTTACTGCCAGTGGAAATCAGAGCAGGATAATGGAAAGTAAAGCAAATCTTAAAAACACTTTTCTCCCACCACTCCCTCCCACCCCCAGCGGTGCAGGGAGACGGGAATGGGGGTTACGGTCAGTCCATCCCAGGTTGTTCCTGGCGCTGCTCAGGGAGAGGAGTCCGAGTCCTTCCTCTGCTCCAGCCCGGGGTCCCTCCCACGGGACACAACTCGTCCTGAACTGGGCAACAAGTGAAGGCTGTGCGAGGGCAGGGAGCGGTCAATGACCGGCATTGCCTGGTGCGTTTTGGGGTGAGAGGCCGCGGGTGGTGCGCAGGAACTGAGCAGCAGCGATGGCGAGGCGGATGAAATGGGTTTGTTTGGCGGAGTGCTCTTTGACTTGGTCTCTGGTGTCGCTGGAAGCGCTGAAAGGAGAAAATGCAGAGAGAGGTGAAAATTAGTAAAGGTAAAAACACCGGAAGGAATTGGAATCTAGAGAGGAAATTTGGGTGATGGGAGATTAGGCCTTCAAAAATGAAAATATTCTCTTGTGGATAAGGAGGAAAGTTTTTACCATGGAAAATAGGGGAGTGTTTTGCAGGTGTAAGTATAGCTAAGCACTGGAAAAAAAAAAACTTTTTAATTGGTTTAATTGGTTATTTTGGATCCATGTTTGGAGATTCCACCACACTTTTGTCCTCTTACTCTCCAGGTAATGTTTCAACTAACATATGGAATGTGTATTTTATGTAATTATTTTTCCCCTCCTTTTTTTTTTTTTTTGATGGAGAAGTGGAGTTTGTATTTATTAACTGCATGTCTAGCATACATTCCCACATAGGAATCAAGGTGTGAGGTTATGACAATAACTTTTCAAGAGGCATTTTTCAGGGATTTTGTTACAGAATTATCAAGCAGATCATCTATTTACCTTCCGTATTTTCTTCTGTCACTGGGAGATACATGAAGAGTTTTGGATGCAGAAATGAAATGTGATCTTTCCCTACTTGATCTGTAAGTTAGAAGTTGTAAAACATTTAAACAATAACCAGGTGCGTTGTTATGAGGTCCTGGAGTGATGCTGAGCATGAAATATGTGAGCACTTATAAAGAAATGTAATAAAACACAGTAGTAGTTCAGAGACTTTTTAGTAACTGTGGTTTAGATCTCAGTATTCCCTTCTTTGCAGCACTGGTTGCCTTTGCTGCTTTTCAGTATGAAAATCTTTTCCTTTTGCAAAACCTGCTGTGTGTGATATAGGGAAGTCTGCCCCTTTCTTGAAATGAGTGTTATTTCTTTTTGAATTTTATTAGAAAAAATTTACTTCTTTCTTCATGTAATATGTTTGTCTTTTTGCTCAATGCAGGATTACCTACCTCTAAATTAGTCTTGTTATTTAACTCTTTAGAGACCTCTTGTCTACAGTCCTCCCAGGCAATCTTTGTGGTGACAGTGTTTAATATGTAGTTGGAGTTAAATTTCTAAATTTGAATATGGACATTTTTCTTCCTTACAGTAAGCTTTTATGTGTTAAGGCAGATATATCACTCCTTTAACTCATTCAGTCTTTCCTCTCTTAACCCTTGTAGTATTCCTTACAGCTTTTCAAGGTGGTGCATATCTTGGTGACATTGTCTTTCTTAAATGTTTATTGTGGCCTCTAAAATGAAAACAAAGAGAAAACTCATGTTTTCTCTGGTAAATTACAGCTCTTTTGGACGTAAAACTCACTCTTGGTTCCTAGTTTGAGAATTTAAAGTCCGTTTTACTTTATCATTAGTCTTATTTTTTCTCTTTTCTGTTTCAGAAAATACCACCATTTGAAGTATTGGTTCATGTGGATCTAGTTTGGTTGTGTTACTTTAGTTTTTTGTTTCTCTCTGTGTTTCTGTCCTTGTCTGTAGTGGTGGTAAAGTGGTCTTGCATAATTAAAACAATTAATTCAGAATGGAATTCCTAATTTGTTTGTCATAGGGACGAAAGAAAAATAGAAAATAGAAAAAAAATAGAAAATAGAAAAAACAAAATGACCTCTTTATGTTAGAGGCCTGTCTATGTATCTTAATCTTAGAATTGGTGTCAAGTTTGAGTAAATGCTTCGGTTCTTTACTGACTACAGAGTATGTATTAGGAAGTTATGAAATATCTCTCTGTGGGACACATTAAAGCATTTCTCTTCAGTTCACTGCAGGGTTTTTTTGGTATGAAAATGCAGTAGCTGGTTCCATTTCAAAAGGGAACAAAAGGAGGTAATAAACCTGTGTTATGCTGAATAAGTTTAAATACAAATTCCCTGTCATTGGGATTCTTAGATTGTAGTTTATAGGAAATTGAGGTCTACTGGGAAGACTGTTAACTACTGTACTGGCTATTAAAGGTGTAGTCAGAGACCTTCTAGGTCAGTTCGAGTTCTGCTTCTCAATTACAGTTCACAGTCCTGCTGTAGGGCACAATATTAGAGAAAGGGGCAGTTTCTCATTTTCAAACTTGACATGGGCCTTAACTTCTTTTTAATTTTTCCTTCTGCTTTGTATCCAGTTTTATTTATTTATTTATTTGTTTATTTTATTTGGCATTTAATGGGTACTTGCTGCTGGATCTTTTCTCCTGACTTGATTGAAGGACCAGAATGGATTGCATGTCTTGTGGTAGTTGCTCATAACATTGAAGGGAATCTGTTACAGTTGCACAAATTTATTGCTCAGTTTTGTATTTATGCCAAAGTATGAAGCATCTTCTGGGAAATGGATCAAGTGGCTCTTCATGGAAGTGAAGTATGTGAGCCACCACATTTAAAAATTAATCTTTTCCTCATTAAAAATGTGGATTATTTTCAATTTTTTTCAGGGAAGTCTATCCACGAGTTCTCAATAGTCCTAGATATTTGTGGGATATGACTTCAAAATAATATTTTGATTGTCGAAGTTAGACTTGTCAAGGTAGACCAGTGAAACTGAGAATACTTCTTTGCATCCTGTAATGTATTCTTTTTCTGCTTGCTGCTATCTGTAAACACTATTTATGAGTAAATATGTATAGTGTGAAGACAATTGTTAATTTTAATTTGTCATTTTTTAAATAGTACAAAAGTATATTTGGAAAATGAACATAGATAGGCATTCACATGCTTAATGTTAGTCCATTTTTTTTTGTGTATTAGTCCAAGATGAGAGGTTGCAAGAATAAACTTTTTAAAGAAAATCCTTGAAGGTAATTCAGGTGGGACTTGCCAGAATTACAAGGAATGTTGTCTGGATACATTTCTAAACATTACAGTCATCAGTAATATTAAACTGAAAAACATTTAAGTACTGTGGTAAATCTGAGACAAAAAATATGTGTATTTGCTCATGCAGTCTTCTGGGAACGTGAACCATGCAACTGGGCTCAACAAAATTCAAGTTTGGGGGAGCATGATGCTGATTGGAGCATTGATTGCTGTCTGGGGGACCTCTAGGGAGTAAATTACTCCCTTTCTTCTCTTGGTGCATTTTAAAACACTGAGATCATTGATGGCTGCCTAGGTCATTAGAGGTTCACTACAGTGTTTCCATTTCACATTTTTTAAAAAATGACAAAAGGGTTTGGGTTGGAAGGTGCCTTTAAAAGTCATCTAGTCCAACCCCCTGCAGTGAGCAGGGATATCTTCAACTAGATCAGGTTGCTCAGAGCCCCATCTAACCTGGTCCTGAATATTTCCAGTGATGGGGCATCTACCAACTCTCTGAGCAACCTATTCTTGAGTTTCACCAAAAATCATCCTTAAATCTGGTCTAAATCTTCCCTCTTTCAGTTTAAAACCATTACTCCTTGTCTTGTTGCTGTAGGCCCTATTAGAAGATTTGTTCCCATCTTTCTTAGAAGTTCTCCTAAAGTATTAAGAGACTGCAATAAGGTCTTCCTGGAACCTTCTCTTCTCCAGACTGCACAAATCCAACTCTCTTGATGTTTCTTCATAGAAGAGATGTTCCATCCGTCATCATTTTTGTGGCCTTCCTCAGGACCCCCTCCAACACATCCATGTCTTTCCTGCTCTGAAGATTCCAGAGCTGAATGCAGTACACCAGGTGGGATCTCACCAGAGCAGAGCAGAGGGGCAGAATCACCTCCCTCGACCTGCTGGGCATGCTGCTTTAGATGCAGCCCAGGACATGGTTTGCCTTCTGGGCTGTGAGCCAAAAGACTGCCACATGACCAGTTTTTCATCTACTAGGACCCCAAGAGGTACTTTTCACTGCTGTCCATTGGAGCATTGAGACATTGCCCACTACCCTCTGGATGCGACCATCCAACCAAATCCTCATCCATGGAACAGTCCAGCCATCATATCCTTATTTCACCAGTTTAGAGAGAACAATATTGGGAGGGACTATGTCAAAGGTCTTGCAGAAGTCCAGAGAGACGAGACCCATAGCCTTTACCTTGTCCATTGATGTAGTCCCTCCATCACAGAAGGCCATTATGTTGATCAGGCAGGACTTGTCCTTGGTGAAGCCGTGCTGGCTGTCCCAAATCACCTCCCTGTCCTCCATGTACCTTAGCACATTTTCTGGAAGAAAAAAGGCAAGGAAGAACTAGAAGAATTTTGAACTGTAAAGCAGATAATGAATAAAAAAAAAATAAAAAGGATTAATTTCTAAGTTTTTTTAGCTGTTTCTGCTTGCTCTAAGCAAAATAACATCTGGGAGAATTGTGGTGGTGTTTGCTATCGAATGATAATAACCCTTGTTGATCGGTATTAGAGAAAAGGGAATATGAAGCAGAATTGAACCTTTCTGTTGTACACAACGTACTTTCTATGTGTCTCTTTCTGTTCTCTAACTAAATACAGGTTCAGAAATAGCAGTTTTTAAAAGAGCCTCAAAAATCAGCCAGGTACTGGAAAACTGATTTTACAAAATTGTATCTAAAAAGATATTTTCTTTTGGCTCCATAGCTATTCTTGAAAGTTCAGAAAGGTAGTATCCCTCCTGTTAGTGTTAGAATACTGCTTTGGTGTAGCGGATCAAGTGACAAGAGATGTAATTTGCAATGAAGCCAAGGAATGTGCTGTTTCCTGAGCTGTGCCCTCGGAAGAATCCCACTACCATGGCAGGCAGGTTGCTGTTACACGGTGCTGTTTCTGTGCGTGGGTTTACTGAGCCAACTCAGTCGATTGGCAAAGTGCAGTGACCTGCCAGCTGGCTGTGTCTGGTGCAGAGCGTGGCAGGGCCAGAGAGGTTATTCTGTTGTGTTGCTTAAATACATTGCACTCTTCAGATCTTTTTATTTGGCTTGTAAAAGGAAAAAAAAGGTCCAAGAATTTACCTGTTCTCTCTGTAGACACCCACCCATGAGAAGAAACACTAATGAGAAATTTTTCAAGCTTTTTAACAGATGCGTGAGATATAATCACTGAAACTTGAAATAGGCAATTTCTGCTAAGTAGATATAGTTTGCTAGTAAAAAGTATAAATAAACATTGGAAAATATCAATGAAGGAGGCAGATCATCAGTGCCTGGAGTACTATGATAGCAAAGGATTTATTAGTTTAAAAGATATGCTTTAATCTGGAAAAAATTCCACAGCCTGGGTGAAGGAGGAGGAGGAGGATAGGAGAAAGAAAGATGTAGTGCTTATGGTGGATTTCGATAAGATCAGCAAAACTTCAGGTCTAGGAATTCAGAGTTCTTGAATTTCCATTTCTTTTTGTAGTGTGCCTTGTTTTCCTTTATGCTGTTTGGAGGAAATGCTTGTATGTAAGCTTAAAAAAAAAAGAACATAATAGTGGATCTTTTGTTCTGTCTTTAAGATTCATGCAATTTTAGTTTCATTTGTGTTAAGCAGTTAATTAAGAAAATAATTATACTGAAAATGTATTTAGTCTGGATAACCATGTGCTTGTTTTGCAGGTACGCCTGGTATTAAAGTCCTTATGCCTGCACTTTCTCCTACAATGGAAGAAGGAAACATTGTGAAATGGTTAAAAAAGGAAGGTAGGACAGCATTTTCTGTGGCTACATATTTCATAATTTTTCTGCTATGTAAATCTATTCTGTAAGAATAAGATTATTCTTTCTGTTTATGGATTAGTATTTTCAAGCAAAATACTTGCTATATGGATGCTGTCATCTTGAACAATACCTGCTTTGAAATTGTTGGTTTCTGAAATGTTTTTCTTTTAGTTGCCTTCCAAAAGGTTGTATTGATCATATTTTTTAAAAGTTTCCATTAGGCTGTTCCACGCTGTGGGTGGGTGTGTTGTTTTTTAATTCCCAGTTTCGTCATGCTGATCCGTTACTTTGAAAGTCTGAGAGCCACTGACTTTGAGGAGGGTCTGTTTCATTGTTCTGCTGTGACATGAAATACCATGAAAGATATGATATTTTTATAGTTGCTTATCAGGGCTTCCTGTTTAAAATCTTAATTATTGTCTACAGTTAAAGCTGATAGAAAAATCTAAATTACTTTCATAACCCTGTTTCCAAATGTGGAATTTTTTCCCTAAAAGAACTCAAACAAAAAGCCAATCTGCTCCTGCAAAGAAAAGCCCTAACAACCTTGGTTATCTCAGGTTCTTTGTGCTCTGACAACTGTGTCCTTTTGTTAAAATATGTTGGAGCAACTGGATAAGAAGTGTCAGTTTTGTCTTCACATGAGTTGAATGTAAATGAAAAATGGTCTGTAGAATAATCAGCAGTTTCTGTTTATCAGTTCCTGTTCTGTCAAGAGAACTTTTTCCTGTCTCCTCCTATCCTTTTCCCTCTTCAATTTAATACTAAAACTGAGTTTTGACAGTAACTTTGGATTCCATGTGGCAATTGTCCATTTTTACAGGATGCATTGCAGAGTTTTAGGTGACTGTAGGGATATATTTTGTTCATAAACATTTTTAGATTTGCTTAAGAGATGAGTACATCTGGAGAAGAGAAAATCTCTTAAAGGCTATTATCTTTGACAGATACAATTTGAATAGCTAATGTGTTTTGACTATTCTGCCCAGATAAGCCATTTCCTTTGGCTTATTCTTTTAAGGATTGATACAGCTTCCATCACTGTGTTACAGGAACACTTTTGCTTTTACACACTTTGAACACATTTTGAGAGGTGGCTGGAGGGCACCTTTTGCCTTCCAACTCACGAAACTTCTAGTAAGAATTTCTGCAGAATTTGCTAGTAACTATATGGCAGTTTACGTCTATTAAAAGAAATTGCACCAATGTTCTTGACACTTTAAGCTTCAGGTAGTCGAGTCCAAGATTATGAAAGGAATGATCCAAGGTTCTTTTTCTATTCATTACTTTTCAATAAGACATTAAAAATCAACAATAGCCTGTTTTGACAATAATTATAGGATTCAAAATTGCAAAAGAGAGCATGGTAGTAGATTCCTGTTTGCTCTACAACATGAATGAATAAGCTTTCCTCTTAAAAAGGTGTTATGATGCAAAAGGCATACGATGGCTTTTTTCAATCTTTCCTTTACACTTTCACCCTAACACAAAAGGGAAAAAAGCTCCACACCTATTTTAGGTCATTAAAATCAAATCTTAATTGATGGTTGGACTTCGAGAGAAAACTATTTTAGGATTTTTATTGCTGGACTTTATATTTAGAAAAAAAAACAAAACTAAAGAGAGTATGTCATCTTATTTGGCCACATCTGTGACCAAATAAGTTCCTATCAATATCCTTTTTTCTCTAATAGTCTGGAAAATAAACATAATGACAACATTAAAAAAACCCTCAAGATAAATTTTGAAGAAAATAGCAAAGTGATTTAATGCTTGTACTCCTCCTTTCTGTAAGGGATGCTCTTAACTACTTAATCCACCAGAGAATTTGCCATCCAAAAGTAGTGGCATTGCTGAATATAAATGTTTGATAATCTAATATCCAAGAAAATAAATATTTTTTTTAACAATTGAAAGAAGAAAGCTGCTTCCATATGAAATGTTTTTCCCACTGTATAACCAGAAGGGGTCAGTATAATACTATTCTGATAATTTTTCCTGTTCTTATTGTAAATATCAAATGTTTTCATTTTACAGTTTCACAGGATGGACAGATGATTTCAGTACTGCAGAAGAAAAAGCACTGAGTTTAATTGACAGCTTTACTTTTCCTCCTCATTGTTAATGCAGTTTCATATTGATTCCTGTGGGTAATAAAGTCATTCTCACAGAGATGAAAACTATGCTTTTAAAAGATTGTATTTATTATGTATGCATTTAATGTTGATGAAAGATGATAGACTGACAGCCCAGGAGACCAAAATCCTCTTGTTATTGTGGGCAGGAAACAGAACATACAACAGTGCTAGCAGCTTCCATATGCAGTGTAACTCTTGCCACCTTTTGAGACGTCAACTCCAGGGACTTCAGTCTGTATGTTTAGTCGACTCTGATTCGATTTGGAACGAGTACATTAAGGAATGCAGTTTGTATCCTGTGATTTGGATACTTGTCTGTCAGTAGCTGAATGGAGCATGTAGGCTATTGAATGCCAATTGGATGTGATCTCCTAGAGGGACACTCTGCTTCAGTAGAGATCCTGACCATTCAGCCTAGCTGTAAGAACTTACATTAAAATTTAAAAAAAAAAAAAAAAAAATCAGGCAACTCCCCTGCCCAAGATTTTTCAGGCAACTTCTGTTGCAAATACTGCTCTCTCAGTTTCAAGTGTAAGAGCAAAGATATGCTTTGTAAAAGTATTTTTCCCAGTCCTAAATATTGAGAAAGCGGATTTGTAATTGACATTAAAGTGGGCATTGATTAGGAGCTATTGCAAATTTTGCAGTCTCTACTGAAAATAACTATGGTCCTTTCTACTGCACTTGGGTACTGAAACACATAAGACTTGAATGTGCTGCTATGATTTATTCTTAAAATGGGATGTAATGAATTGCCTTCCAAATTTATGACCCCTTTATGGCTGCAGCAGTGAAAGGAAAACAAAAAAAGTACTGAAAAAGTAGATTACTCGGTTCTCTGAAGGCTTTTCCTCTTGCCCTCCCTGTGCAAGGGAATCCTTAGTTTTCTATGAACTGCCTCAGGTACCCAAGGTAAGAGATGTCATGTGTGACAAACACATGGATGAAAGTATTTCCTTTGGCTCTCTACACTGCTGGAGGTATTGCAGCAGGTCTCTTAGCACAGAGATTTCTTTTTAATGCTGCAGAACACTTACAGTCTGATTGCAGATTAAGATAGTTAAGCTCCTTTCTGCTTGCCAGTCTCAGCTCTGTAGATTAGAGAATTTGCCCAACAATTTGATTTCTTAACAGCTAAGAAGTACTTACCTAATGAGCTGATATATGGGCTACTTGAATTAAAGATCCAGTGAAATTAAAACACTAGTGTAGAGCCTGGAGTTCTGACTTCCACTTATAAATTGTTTATGCTCTAGTTATTGCAAAATGCAATGTGGCTGTTAGATTATTACATTAAAGAGATCAGGTGCTACCTTGTATATTTCTCTGACAATTTCTGTGATACAAACATTTATGACTTAAAAATTCTGCAAGTGTGAAGTTCAAGACTGAATGTTGGATGTTTGCATTGTTTCTTCTGCAGAGATCACCAGGATCATACAACCTTTAAGTTTTCCCTTCTGATTCATGTAGTCCCGAAACAGAAAATTTTTTTTTTTTGAAAGTATTTGTCTCTTACCTAAATACAGGTGGTAACCTGCACTAGTTTCATTTTGATACTTACGTACAACAGAGCGATGTCAGGGATTAAACTAAATGCTCAGATTGGTAACACGGTTGCAGCGTTTCTGGTAATGAGGAAATATTAAGATTTTACTTCCTATAAAGTTGTAGGCATAATTTAGGCTCCTATGTATTATTATCCCTATAAGGAAAAAGTTGTATTTTGTTTGAGGTCAAAATATTCAACTGCCTCAAAAATTTTAATGTAATTTCAGTTTTAATGTTGGCCATCTAGTCAGTATTGATTTGTTGAAATAATCCAGATTCGTAATACCATTATCATCTGCTAGCAGATACAGATATTCTTCAAAAGCAGAAGAAGAGTATGCTTCAGAATTAATCACGGATTTGTGTAATATAGCAAAGGCAATTTCTAGCACTTGTGCATATTTTTATTTCGTAAAGTATGTGTGTTTCTAAAAGACCTTTTTTAACTATGTAGGAGATTAAACAAGCTTTCAGATCTGTTTTCCGAAAGATAATAAAATTCCTGGGGTTTTTATTTAAATGTCTTTAGTAGTGTAGATACCAATTAAAGAACTGTGATACTTAAAGGTGATGTTGCCTGTGACCATTGACTGAAATAGTTTTAAATAGCTTGCTCTGGCTGGTGGCTGACAATGAATGTGGAAGGGTCAGTGTTACTGAGTATGTGGTTCTGGAAATAAATTTCATTGCCTGTTTCTCTTGGAAAACCTACTGTAAACATCAGTATTTGGAACATGTCACAGCAGTTTTTGTTTCTTGAATCTTGGTTTTATTTGGAAAGGAAAGATGCGATATTATAAAAACAATAGGGGAGCAACTGGCTATAAAATATATTAAAGAATATAAAATGACTATATTATATGGCTAGATCTCATATTTCTGTAATCTGAAAAGAAGTTTAGGATAAGTATTCTTAAGTTCTGTTATATTTTGCAGGTGAAACAGTGAATGTTGGAGATGCATTGTGTGAAATTGAAACGGACAAAGCAGTGGTTACCATGGAATCGAGTGATGAGGGCATATTGGCTAAAATACTGGTAGGGATTCTGCATATCTGAGTAGGATGATATAACTTCTCTTTAGACTCTTGTTTAGTATATTGCCTCAAAAATTAGTTTAGATAGCTAAATTTCTGCTCAACTTTGAAAATAATGCACTTGCTTGCATTCCAAGGGAGAACTAATTGCTTTATTTGTTTCACATATGTACCAGACAACTGGTACACATGATTGTGTATTATCTATGTGATGGATTTTCAGTTACCCTGACTGAATTATGTTGTTTTCTTTGTTTTACACCTATGTTCATGCAATATTGTAGTTCATGACATCTCTCACTCTAAGTTATAGAAAACAAATCACAAGGAGTTAGTTGGAATGTGGAATTTTGGATGATACTCTATCTGGGATGTGTAGTCTCTGTGCTAGATTATCTTGTGCTAGTCATTCAGGGTGGAACAGTATACAAGATGGGCTGACCCAGAGGACAATTCTTGGAGTTAATATTCTTGTATTAAAATTAGATTGACTAAGCTTAATATAAAGAATGAGAACTGGGATGACTGTGAAGTTCTCTGAAAATAATTTGGGAGTGTTGGTGTTTATGTGCATATGTAACAGAGATAATGCTGAGTTTGTTTGGGTTCCTTTTTTATGTTTGGTTTTAAATCCTGTTCTGTAGCAAGATGGAAGCAGTAACAACTGGACAAGAGAGATCAGGATGAAGGACTTAGTTCTAACCCTGGACTGCTTAAGGTCTGCTTGTAGGTCCTATGCTGTGCTTTGCATACAGTCATCTAAAAAGACAATTCTGTCTCTTTTCCCGTATTCTCCTCCTTCTCTTTTCTAACATTTTAAAAAAATGTTTCTTATTTCAAAATGACCTGATGCTAATTCCCATCAGAATTAAGAAGGGTGGGGCTGTAATTCTGTAGCATTTTGTTGTGGCTGATATGTAGAAGTAAATATTACATTTCTTGAAAGCTCATATTTGATGCTTGATATTTTCAAGTTACTTATCTCTAGAGAGGGAAGTTAAAGTGTATTATGAATTGTGTATAAAGACAGAGTAAGTGTTTACCCTCCCTTTCAATATTCACCACTTTTCTAAAATTTTCTCCAAACAATATTCAAATCTGTGGGGTTTTCTCATATGTCCTGTGAAGGCTTAAACTGTCAACTAGCCTGTAGCACTTCCAACAACAACAAGGATATCTTTTTCCCTTCTAGAAATTGTGCAGGTAATCATGGATGATATTAAGTAATAAATAATAATAAATTTACTTTTTCTTCCAAAACATGTTTTGCAAATATTCCCGGTGCTTATAGGCTAGTCTATACCTCCCTTGAAAGAAAAGAACATAAGTAAAGTAAATTATAGTCTGTGTTCCTTACCCTCCAAGGCTTCATCCTTGTAGTTTACTTGGGAGGACTAACATTTTGTGTCTTTGTTTCTTATGCTTTTCTCTCTCAAATTCTTCACTTTGAAATTTTCTAAACAGTCTCATTTCTATGCTGGTGGTGAATTGCAACTGTTTCTTCTCTCCCTCCACAATAATTAAACAATAAGGTGAATTGGAAGAACTTTAAATAAAATTAAAATGAGATGTGTATTTATAGTAAATATTATGTAATTTGATCAGGGAAGTCTCATCTAGGGAATATCTACACACGAGGTGTGGATTGCATAATTATATATATTAGGCATACTGGTATTGATTGCAGTCCAGCTACTTAGGAAATAGCAGAATGGGCATGAATATGAACTAGTTCCTAGAAAATTCTGCCCTATGCACAGTGAGACACCTGCTTCTGCTGTTACCACAAAAGCTTTTTGGACTGGTACGTTAGGTTGCCTTTCTCTGCTACAGTTGAATTTTCTTACAGGAGCATGTATTTCCATAGTTACCCTTTGCAAAAACAGAAAAGGGAGGGTAGTGTCCTGTGTGACAGCTTTTGAGAAGTGATGTTGTGTTTAGCATCTTCCTTTTTTGTATAAGCAAAGGCAACATCCTTTGTAAAAATCAAAGCATCGAAACTGGTGGGGGGCTGGGTAGGGAGGAGAGGTGGTATAAAATGGAACTCAGCTGCAAGTCGAATCTATCAGGGTTTACAGGAAACTGTCATTAGTGTTTTATTTCTACAGGTTAGCTTGCATGTAAGCACTAGTTTATATTACCGAGTAAGATTTTTGTCTTTTCCTTCTTTTAATTCCATTACTAAATAGTATTTTTTCCCAGATGTTCAAATTTTTTGTAGCACCTTGAAACTCCTGAAGTTTCAGGCTCAACTGTGGAGCAACACATGTAATAAGTTTCAGAGAATCTTTTCTGCTATCTCAGGATGAAGTCTCACATCAGACGTGTTCTTAAATCTGTTTTTAATCTCCATGTAGTTATTTAAATAATTGCTGAGTAATGCTTTCACTATTTTTAATTGTCTTCTTCGACTTTGAATGTTTCCAAAAAAATTATTTTGCACTTAATAGCCTAGACAAAAAAACTTGTGCAACCTATTCTGCATTTGCAGACACTGCTTTCTTAGGTTATGTGAGGAGGAGGTATGGGCATTGTCACTGTCGAAATTAATCCTGTCTCTGTCAAATTAATCCCAGAGAAATATTAAGAAAAAAAAATCAAGTTCCAATATTGATTTTTTTCAAGTTTCTTTAATAGTAATTCATGATGACTACAAGTAACATTAGTATTTCAGAAGCTGTGTTTTTTTTCCATTTCCTGTCTTGTATTCCAAATGCATTCCAAATTCCAAAATTTCTTTGTGTGTGTTGCTGTTGTGGCGTGTTTTTTGATAGATCAAAGCCAGATTTTGCAGCATCTATGTAATACCAGTATCATGGAGTAGTGATGTTCCTCCTTAGCTGAGCTATCCATATCATCCAATCACAATCCTATCCTAAGAGCTGAGTCTGAGAAGGAGGTGCCAGGAAGTGGAAACTATAATATCTTTTAGATTAAAGGGAGACAGTTTTATTGGAGGAACATGAACAGATCATTATGCAAAGCCAATCTTTAATGGATTCGTTTAATCCCAGGGATCTAGAGATGGTGGGCTGAAGTATTAGAGTACAGAATAGAAAGGCCTTTATTTCAGTCTCCTAAAAAGTACAGAAGAAACCTAATGATTTGAAAACTGAAAAATAGGAGACCAATAAGATAAAAAATTTTGATTTTTTTCTTCTTTAGCTCAGGTATGGTCCTTTGTAGTCTTTCTGCATTATCCAAGGGATATTTTTGCACTGTATTGGGTATTCAGTATTTGTTTGTGTAGAGTTTGTAAAATTAACTGTATTAGGTTTGTGGATGGGGAGATGATTTCTTATTGAAAAGACTGTCCTTTCAGGGACCACTTAAAAGTTTCAGATGTGATGCAGTTGATGGGAAATTAAGAATTTTTTGTGCCTCTGTATTAGCTTCTGGCAGAATTTTACTCACTTCCTAAAAGAAATGAGAGAAAAAAAATGTCTCTTTTGATTCCAACTACAATTCTGAACCATCTTGACTGAGTTCTGTATGGAGGGCTGAGTCAAAATAGCACACTCTCTGTCTAAAGTTCTGGGTTTTACCTTTAAAGATAGGAGATGTTTCCATTTTACATATTTAATGCACAAGAAAAATCTCCCTTAATTTTTAAGCATCAAATATGAGCTTTCAAGAAATGTAATATTTACGTCTACATAGCAGCTGGAACAGGTTAAATTAGTTGAATTTCTGTAACCTTTCTTGGTTTTTCTTGACTGTATAAGCTAAATATGTATGATTCAAGAAAGAGCAGGCTAACAGTGAAATAGAAGCTCATGCATATACATTCCTTTTCTGTCTGAGCAGGTCTTGTAATGATCACATCTGATTCAATGTAAAATGTAGTAAAAGATTAAATAACTGAATGAAATATTAGATGATGATTGTTTAAGAACTGTATTTAATTGTTGAGGGATAGATCATATAACTGGGTGTGCAGTTGCAGTGTAAGCTGCAGGTTGTGCCCCGGGTAGGGGGAAATGTCAAGAGTCCCAGGAAAGGGGCTGTGACCTGGTGCCAATCCTTTGCACAACAAGGGCACAGGGACCTGTAGCACTGGCCAGGTACTGGATGCTCTGATACAGCAGGACCCAACTACACAGCGGGAAGATCACTGGCTATCAGGGGCATAGACTGTGAGAATATAAAAGCCCAGGGATTCCTTTGTTTGCAGTCCCTACCCAGAGGCACCAGCTTGAACTGATTTTGTGTTACTGGGCCACAATTAAAATTAATTTAAGAATCCAGGTCTCTGGGACTCTGCTGTGGGAAACTGAGGGTTGAGCTGGTAAAGATACCTTGTCTGACCGTGTGAGGTGTGCAGAGAGTCAAGTGGGGCACCCATTGGGTCACTGGAGCTGCCTGATGTGAAGGTGCTTAAGTCCCAGCAGTGAAAGTCTGGGGTGGAGCAAGTGTGACTGCCAGAGTGGCTCCTGGATAGTCAGACAGGGAAGTTTCCTTAACATTAGTATCCATGACCATTTTCTCATTTGTAACCAAAATGAGAATTAGTATGAACTGAAACTACTTTGTATAAAAATTCCACTGCAGAGTGAGCCAGCAGAAGTTTTGTCCATTTTTCTCCTCAGTCGAGGCAATAAGCATTTACTTTATTTTATGTGTGTTAGTGACAAAAGCACTATGCTGCCATGGCAACAGTTCCAAGGAAACTTTATTTTACTGTGCACTCAATCTGCTCGAATTTTTTCTGCCTGTCAAGGTCACTTGAGCTTTGTTAGCAAAGCAAAGTTAGCATCTTTTTGATTCTTCTTGGTTATGTGTACAGACAGTACAAGACTCATAAAGTCATAGAATGGTTTGGGTTGTAAGGGACCTTAAAGTCATCTCATTCCAATCCCCTGATAGAGATGCCTTTCACTAGACCAGGTTGCTCGGGGCCCCATCCAACCTGACCCTGAACACTTCCAGGGATGGGGCAGCTCCAGCTTCTCTAGGCAACCTGTGCCAGTGCCTCACCACATTGACTAAAGAATTTATTTCATAACATCTAACCTAAACCTGCCCTCTTTTATTTTAAAACCATTTCCCCTTGTCCTGTCACTGTATACCTGTACAAGAAGTCCCTCTCCCTCCTTCTTATAAGCCCCTGGAAGGCCACTAAAATGTCTCTTGAAGGCCTTCTCTTCTCCAGGCTGAACAATCCCGGCTCTCTCAGCCTATCTTGGTAGGAGAGGTGCTCCAGCCCTCTGGTCATCTATGTGGCCCCTCCTCTGGGCCTGCTCTGAACAGGTCCATGTCTTTCCTGTGTTGAGGACTCCAGACCTGGACACATCACTCCAGGTGGGGTTTAACCAGTAGAGGGGCAGAATCACTTCCCTCAACCTGCTAGTGATGCTGCTTTTGATGCAGCTCAGGATGGGTTTGGCTTTCTGGTCTGCAAGCATGCACTGTTGGCTCATGTCCAGTTTCTCATCCATCAGAACCCACAAGTCTTTCTACGTATTTCAACTCTTACTACATCTGAGATTCTCTGGTTTGTTGAGATTTATGCAGAGGGTTTTTGATATAGTGAATAGTAAAAATGAAGTAGTGACTCAAAAATCCACAAGATGAAAAGTTAAGCAAAATTGTAACAGCTTGTCTGTTCTAGTTCTGACCTGCAAAGGTGGTGTGTTTAAAAACTTACTTTGATTTCTGAATGCTAACTTTAGGTGTATGGAATTTGGGGACATAGGTTAATATTCCTAAACTTATAATAGCAGTTATAGTTTATTTCAGTCTTGAGTCATCTTACTAATAATAGGAATAAAAATGGGATGTATTTTATTGATGAATTGTCATTAGCATGCCTGAAACTTTCACATCTACCATTTTCAGTCATATTAGAGTAGACAGCACAGTATGTAACTTAATGTTCTCATTGCCTTAAATTTAGGTGGAAGAAGGAAGCAAAAATGTACGGTTGGGCTCGGTAATTGGTCTACTGGTAGAGGAAGGACAGGACTGGAAGCAAGTTGAAATACCAGCTGCTGGTAGTGATCCATCTTCTCTGGCTCCACCGGCACCTGCACGTCCCTCAGCTCCTGCAAGTCCCTCAGTTTCAACTCCTCCTAAATTGGAACCTCAACCTGGAAAACTGCAGTAGGTTTCTGTGTTTGTTAAGAAATGCAACTCTTTGTTAGATTGGTAGACCTGAACCAAAAATAATCTTTTATCCCTTTTTACCATAAGTAATAGGCTGTTAGTGTTCGTTTAAGAGCATTTCAGTATGTGTGAGGTAATAAGGCTTGCATGCCTAGAATATTTCTTTGCCTGTAAGCCCAAAAAGTCAGTTCAAACAACATAGTTTTATTAGAATAAAATTAATTTTATTCTGACATACAATTGCTTTATGAAGGATTTTAAGCTTACAGAAGAAATTGTGTTAATATATGAGGGACACGCATGCTTATGCATCAGATGCAAAGTGTATCTATAATTTGTTTTCTATTTTTCTAGGAGATTAAAAAACCCGAACAAATGGCACACTCTGAAACCAAGCTCTTGTATTTTTTATATTATTCTAATTTTCATAATAGAGGAATGTGAAAAACTCAAAAGAGTAGGTTTATGTGGTCTTTGTTTGTTTTGCTTTATTTTAATCTGTTAAGGTGCTCTAAGCATTACAAACATCCTGGAGGGGGAGTCAGCCCCAGAGTGTTTGTCAGGTAACAGTAATCTATAAATCACTGCTTCATCTTGCAGGACAGATCTTGTTTGGATTTATCACTCCTTACTTGCAGTGAATTGTGATATCACAAAAACTGTGATGTCACAGCCTGTTAAAGAAAAGATAGGAAACTAATTTTTGTAGCATGTGTTATGCAAACTTTGGGTTTGGTAGTTTGAGTTTTTATATTTTCTTGTTTGTGGGATTTTTCTTTTTTTTTTTTTTTTCTTTTTATCCCCAACCTCATTACGTTTTCAATCTGGTTTGCTCTGTGTACTTCTGGCAGCATTCAGGCTTTTCTCATGCAAGTGGAAGACAACTAATTGAGGTCATTGCCCAAGCCTTACCTGTAGTAGGAGGATGATCCACTGAAAGGATCCTTGAAAGGATTATGTCTTACATTTTAGTGCCAAAGAATATCAGACAGTGATGTCTCACTGCAGCTGTTAATTAGAGATGTATCCGCATGTTCAGAATGATCATTTTTGATGTGCCTTTTTTTGGCAAGAGCTTAATAGACAGTTCTTAAAATTCAGTGACATGCAAATACAGTCTCCTTTAGGAAATAATTAATTGGAGGTTTTGTGGAAAGACTTGAAACCAAGTATTTTTCTTTTATGTTGCTTCTTTTGTATCTAAGAATTCTGAAATACCTACCTGTTGGCTTTTTTCCTCATTTCAGAGAGCAAGTCATGCTAATGTGTACTGAGTACTCTGTAGCTATGTAGTTAATATACTCTGCTTTGTAGTTATTACTCTGCTTTGTAGTTAATCATATTTCTGTTTCCTGGCAGAAATGTAGTTTATCTTGATGTACATTAAATGAAATAAATTGATCTTATTATTTAAATAGTTTATTTTTCCCCTCATGTCTTTAGGGTTCGTTTAAGTCCTGCAGCTCGCAACATTCTGGAAACACATGGACTAGATCCAAGCAATGTTACACCTACTGGGCCTCGAGGAATCTTCACTAAAGAGTATGTAGATATTTTGTTAAAGCTACAACCCTATATTTCTTGATTTCTTCCTTTGAAACTAGAGCAATCACCATGAGATTAACATCGATGTATTTAAAAGGCATAGGCTTAGTTAAATTTGAAAAACCTAATGAAAACACAGGGAGAACAGATTAGGAAATATTTTAAGAAGCCTTGGTTAAAAAAAAAAACAAAACAAAACAAACAACAAACCACAAAACAAACACTAATATTTTCTGTGTCCCATCTTAGCTGTGTGGTAATGCTGTCATATTTCCTGCAGCTCAGCCTAATGGTGACTGTTGACTCCTAAGCACCACTGTGAGCTAGTGTTGTGTATCTCCGGTATTTTGCTCCTCCAAGATGCATACAGAGCCAAAATAAAATACCAGTGACCTGTTTTCTTTAACTCTTGGGGAGTTCGGATCTTTTGCTTTTTTCACTGAAGTTTAGTTATGAAATCTGTCAGGATTTCATTTGTTCCCATTTTTAGTAGACGGGGGAGGCCAATGAAGTATAATAATAAATTCCAGAATTCTGTTTTTCTCCCATTTTTCCCTGTCTATGATTTAAAGAGTGTTTGTTTACAAAGCTATGATTTGTTATGATCAGGCTTCTAGTGTTTTATTAAACTTTTTGAGTGTTCTCTTGTAATCATTGGCAGCCAAGCCTCCGAGGGGGAAATTGTGTATAAAAACATGGTAGATCCAGTGCCTTTAGCCTTGAAATGATGCATTATCTTCACATGAGCATGTATGTTATTAGAGGTGAGGATTTTGGCAGAAATAAATATTTTTATTATCAGTAAAATTAATCCTCTCAACAAATGCCATCATTGTCTTACACAGACCTTTCAGGCTGCAGCTGTTTTAGTTCCAGTCAAAGACAACCAGGACCAAGTCAATATAACTTGGAATTGAACCCAGAAAAGCACACAGTTTTTTCAAAACTTTTTTTTCTTATAATCTTTACCTGAGTTGAAATAAAATAAGGAATTGACTAGATATAATATCCTGTGAAACAGAAATCATCAGAGATAGTTTTTTTTTTTTTTTTAAATTATGTAACTGTAACAGTTATTTGTGGTGTGTAACAAGACTATGGCAGGTGGAAACCCTCTAGGACTTTGAGCTCATAAATTAACATTTCCTAGTTGTCATGGAGATGTAGCAAAGATTTTTCTGTAGTTATGAGAATTATCTAGCAAAATAATTTCTTTTTAAAACTACATTCTTTTATACAAAAGATTTGACTTTGTAGTGTCTTTTTAAGGTACAGAATGCCTGGGGTTTTTTAACCATTGTTTTGAAATGGGGTTAATCTTTCATACCCCTACAGACTGTGCTATTATATTCAGTTTGAAATGAAATGTGTGCAGATTTTTATGGAGAGCTGCTACAGATATTCAGGGAAATATTTCCTTTGCTACACTTACCAGATTAAAATAAACAAAGAAAGATAGTGAGTTACGTAGGCAAGCGAGAATCTTTCCCCAATTTTCTATCTTTAAATTCAATTCACTGTAAAATTCTTAATAGCAATAGGAATTTTTACTTAACACCTTTGTCAAAATCTTCTCCCTTAGTAGGATGATACTTTATTTATTTATATGCTTTTATTTATTGATATTTTTCTTATGTGTCTGTGCAAGGTTGAATTACAGTTTTCTTCTTCCTGCTTGTTTTGTTGTTTGTGGGTTTTTTTATGGAGTGGCAGCCTTTTTATTATTATTTCTAAGCAATATCCTATTTGGGAGAGCTATGTTGAAATTGATTGTTACAGGGCACTCCTGTCCTTTGCCATCCTATTTAGTGATCTAGGGATTTATAAATGCAACCATGAAAGGGTGGGGAGGCAAGTTACCAAGAACTGTGTTTCTCCCATCAGTGCCTTCCTACCAGATCTCATTAAGTTAGGGTGGTTTGGGATCTCTGCTCAGACATTTTCAGCTTGCAAATAAAGCCCAGTGCACAGATGAGGCGCTGTTTTTCTGGAGATTATGTTCACATGTATGTGCTGGGTACAGCAGGATCTCTGCTGGGTGCAGTCTATCAGCTGTCGTTATGGAGGAATGAGCTCCTTCTATAATGCTAATAGGGCAATAAATCTCATTCCTAAAAATTTGATGTGTAGCATTCTCACCATTTTCATTCTTCCAGGATCTTATATGAATTAAGTAAACAGATGTTCATATGAGAGGGGATGGGGATGGTTTAGTAACAGTAACTGCCACCAGAGGAGGCTTGTGTCAATCCATACATCTCTTGTCGCACCTTGGATTCGTATATTTTGTATATATTTGTATGTAATGCTCACAAATGAGTTTCAAAAAGTCTTCAGTGAATCTTATAAAAATAAACTCAGTTTTGGCAATACATTTTTCAGGTAACACACTAAAAGCCACCTAAAACAAATGGTCTCTCTTATGACTGCCAAGTTAAAACCCTTAAGTAGTTTTTGGTAGCTTCTAATGTGTTAACTAAAGTTGCATTATGTCGCACAGTTACTTTTTTTGTTTCAAATTATAATGCTAGGGAATGATTTTAATTCTATGAAATCTGGTTTTTTTCCCTGATATAGTGGTGTTAAAGACTAAACACTTAATTTTAAAACAAATTTTTGCTAGCATGTAATGTGGGAAAATAAGTAACAACTTCTAATTATGTCAGATTATATCTTGAGCTCATTCAGTTTTTATTTTTAATATTGTTTGCTGAAGCAAAAAATTGTTGAGCTAAAATTAAACTGAAGTAAGTCAGCAAATTGATAAAATGCAGTATATAGAACATACAGAGTGTTTCAGCTGTCAGTTCTTAGTGCTGGAATGCTATTTTTTAAGAACAGCTAAGAACACATAATGTTCTGAGATTTTGTTCTTTCTACATTTAATTTAATGAATAAATTTAATAACAAACTTGGCTGTCACTCAAGAATAGACTCTCACTTAAACAGTAATCCACTGAAATTAGGCAGATTTATTTCGTATTTATGGCTTGTGTTTCAAAACCATGGTAGAGTTGTAAAGAGTCTGATTTTTAATTTGTTTTTAATTTCTTCTACCAATTTATGGAGTAAAACGGTGTATGTGATGTATGTGGTGATGTCTCCACGAAGTAATAGAGATTTATCTAAGGTACATGTTACAGGCTTTTCTAATTAGATCTGGAGCATAAAGAGGGGGGATCTACAGCTTACTTCCAGTTGCAGTTGGCAGTGATGGTGTAAATGCAGTCTTTTCTGTTTAGCCTCGTAGGTGCAAATCTTCAGCGTGCTGCTTTATAAATACAGTGTACCTGGGGTAGATGCAGTATCATGGCTTAAAGATGAGAGTTACTCATGTCTGTCATAATGTGCCCAGAACAGGGAGATGTTGTGGTGGTAGCTGTAAAATCCTGGGAGAACAGAGCACGCAAGGTTCAACCACACCTGGGACTGTTAGATGTTACCCAGGTTTTGGCTTTGTTTCTCTAGTGTGGTGCTGTCTTTCACATGGCTTACGGAGTATGGACCAGTTTGCCATCTGTACCTGTGGCAGAAGGGTACAGAGAAATGAGTGATTAAATGTATTACTTAATTTTCAAATAGCACTAAGCAATTATATTAAATTCATATTATTACAAATGTAACAGATGAAACAGCTTTTACTTGAGACTTTATTGCCTGAATAAGTGTACTGTCTTATTTAGAATTGTTAGTGCAATTCACAAATCACTTTGGACACTCACAGTTACTAATGATGATTGTAATGCTTCTCTTACACAAATGTTTTGTGTTACGGCATTTTCAAGCCCTTTTATTCATAGAAGTTAAGAGAATATACTAAGAAGATACTACAAAAATAACATAAAATTAGTATCAGTTAATCACCTTCTTAATGTTTGGTTTGGCAACAGAAATTTGAATGTACAGAAGTGGCTAATTAGTTAGAATAAATGATGGAATAGTAATACTTAGGACTTGTTAAATAGTTTTCTGTATTGTCAGTATTTCACTGTGTTTAATCACCAGGGATGCTCTCAAACTTCTGCAAGAGAAGCAGAAGGGTAAACCCACTGAACTGAAACCTATGGTTTCTCCAGCTCCTCTCCAGCCTGCTGCAGTGCCTTCTGCTTCACCAGCAACAGCTGCTTATCCAAGGCCAGCAGTTCCACCACTTTCCACTCCAGGACAACCTGCTGCTCTGGTAACACTCCTGTTAAGATTTCAGCATTCCTACAGCGAATAGTGCAACGGCTACTTAAGTAACTCTGTGATATTTCTACAACTGGAGAGAGGGAGGAAACTAAGGACACTCAAGTGGCCTTAGAAAGCCCTATCATGTGCAGTTGTTAGTATGTTTCATGGATCCTAAAGCAGTGTAATTCAAACTGTGAAATTCATGAAATTATGGTCTGCATAGTATTTTGTGTAGCTTGCAAATTGAAGCCATGGAAAATCCTACGCTGCAGGCCTTGGAAATGGGAAAGTCAGAGAGGCAGCAGTTTTATTTCAGTCCCCAAACAGGATGCCACTACTTTGGAAATCAACAATACTCTCTTTCCCTCAGTCACTACACGATCAGTATGGCAGTGCTTATTTCCAAACTTGGAGAAGTTTGATTTATTTTTACTGTACTTCATGCATTTGCTTTCCTGCAAGATGTAAGTGCCTACAGATGAGTTGTCAAGAAGTGAGCAAGGAAAGGGCTTAGTGGTTGCTTTGAAGAGTGATTTTGCAAACTTTGGCAAACTAAATACGGTTTCTATGTTGAATTGAAGTGTTAGAAATACCAGAAATTATTTTTAAGAATAAATACCCTTGCTGAAATAGATAGTAGAAATAGAAAAGCTTTTGTGAAAATATTCTGGTTCTAGAACTAGATTTGATGTATCTTTTTAGGCGTAAGTTTACAGTTGAATTTACAATGTACCTACAATTCATAATATTCAGAAAATGCTGCTTTTTTTTTTACACTGTTCAAAGAACCAAACAACACAGAAGCTCAAACTTACTTATTTTTCCATCACAGAATAAAACGTTTCCATGATTGCAGTGGAACATACATATTGCAGTTGGTTGTGTGTTGAGTACTATTCAGTATGTACTTAGGATTCTATGAGTCAGGGAACTGAAAAAACAGTAGCTTACTGAGGAAATATTCTATTATAATTTAAGTGAAACCAAGCATAATCTGAGCAATATGCCAAGTCTGGCAGATAGAATAGCACTTATATACTCTGGTTGAAATTTAGTGCTCAACATTTGAATTTTTTGTTGTTGTTGTTTTGAAAGAGGGTTCATTCTGTACTGTAAAATAAAACTATTGTGTAAAACCTGTTATGTTGATTCCAGTCAAGAGAAACAGACTAGAACAGTCATTGGTCTTAATCATATTAATTTCAGTAATTGGAATGTATCGCTTTTGAATACTTAGGGGATATTTTAAGTGAGCAGGAGTCACTGATGGTAACACATAAATGCTGGAGTACTGTTTCAGCAGAGGGGAAGTACATTTTCTCTCTTGATAATTAATATGCAACATACGATTTCTTTCAGGGCACATTCACAGAAATCCCAGCTAGCAACATCCGAAGAGTCATTGCTAAGAGATTAACAGAGTCTAAAACTACGATACCTCATGCGTATGCTGCTGCTGACTGTAATATTGATGCTGTTTTGAAATTAAGAAAACAATTGGCCAAAGGTTAGTAGTTTACCTGATTCACTATAACATGTGCTACTAATGAATGGTTTGTCTTGTTTACATAAAGTCCCCCAGGAGGTGTAGATTTTAGCATAGGCAGACGACTGTGCATTCAAATAATTTTTTTCAGTGTTCTGTATTTTGGATTCAAGCTGTAGTTCCTTGTGATTATTGAATTGGACAACTTATAGGATAAGATGTAGGAGGACAGAGGTGTTACTTTGCCAACTAACACAGCACTCTGTAGACATCTGCAGTTTGTCACAGGACAACACATTGTCCATTAGGTGTTTGTTTCCTTCCATCCAGGTGCAGCAATATTTACTTCTTAATGGTTAAAATCTGAATTTGTTCATGTGGAAGATAATAAGGGAAGCTTCACATTAAAATACACTCATGCTCTGTACTTCTAGGTGCAATGTTAAAATTTAGTTTTGCTGGCCTCTGTGTGAAACTAACTGGGAAAGGAAAGCTAATGCTCCCTTCTCAGATTGTGAGGGAGAATTACTTTATCCATGGTGAGCAAAGAAAGTAAGTTTTAGTACATGCCAGCCAATGCCTGGTAAATTCCTCTAGAAGGCAAAGTAATGGTATTAGTGTGAAGAAAGCAGGATTATCTCTTTCACTGAAATTTATATACATGCTTAAAGCTTATGTTAAACTATTAGAATAGAAATCTGTCTCACAGAGGACTGAATTATTTTAAATATACATTGAGAATTAGATTAAAAACTGTGAATATCAATGTATTTGTGTGTGTAAATTCCAATTTTCATGTGTCCACTGTGTCTAATTTATACATAAATGCTTATATATAAGATCAAGAAGTTAAATTTTCCCTTTTTATCTCAACTGCTGTTTACTGAAGTGACTTATTTAGTAAAAGTTCGTAAAACTCAAGGTATAATAAAAATTACTTTATTTTGGCTAAAACTGTTTTTGTTTTTACTAAAATCAGCTGAGTGTACCATGCAATAGGATGTTTTAATAGTTTCAAAATTAACTTTGCAGACTAGAATCTTCTTTCCCAGATCTCAGTTCAGCAAAGTATATATGACATGCATTTAAAAAAAAATAAACAGAATAATTTTTCAATAGAACACTTTCTGGGCAGAGACTTCATTTTCATGCAAAATATCACAAAGGTGGTTTTTGCTTAGTGTCTTTTTGTTTTAAAACTTGGATTTAGTTAAGTAAAAATTCTGAATGAAAGTTTTTTTTACTTACCATAATCTTCTGAATTTCAGTAATTTTTATTATATATAAAAATATTTGGTCAGTATACTGACTTTAGTGTTGTCTACAGGAAGTGTCTCTAATTTCGTGGTTCTTGAAGATACTAAAGCAAAACCTGTGGAAACCCTTTAGGAAAGCTCTCCCTTTTACTCTTCTGATTTTCTCCTGCCTTGCGCCGTGGGGGAGTGAGCGAGCAGCTGTCTGGTGCTTAGTTGCCACCTGGGATTAAACTGTGACGCACCTTCACTTATCTCCTAAACTACTTGCAAAGGCTGCAGGTTTTTTCGGAGATAATTTTTCTTCACGGAAAAGCTGGATTAAACTGTTGCAGAAATGCACTGCTTGTGTTTGCCTCTGTAGTATCTTCATTCCCTCTTTTGTCAAAACTTGAGTTATTTTAAACTCTCCCAATCCATGGATGCATTTTGACATCAGACCTGTAAAACAGTTATGGAAGCATAATTGAGGTGATAACTGCAAAGTGAGAAGCAGTAGCTGAGGGGAAGGGAGACAGAGTTGGGGCAGTGCCTGGCTGAAAGTTGCCTCTTGTTCATGGAGCTCTAATTCTAATATGTTGAGAAATGAGGTTTGTCTGCAGCTGTCCGGGAAGAGTGGCCTTCTCAGGAAATCTTTCTGGTTTTAAGGCAAAACTTGCTAAGTCAGGCAAGTTCATGTGTTATGATTGCAATAGCTGCAAGGGATTCTGCTTGTCTTAAATTTCTATAAGATTTGAACTATTCTTCAAAAATAACGATATTTATTTCAAGTGTCAGAGGTTAAAAATATTTTTTGAATTGACAGTATCTTACCTCTGCCTAAAATGAAATCTCTTGCCTTTTATCTGCTGGAAACCAGTTGAGATAAGCTCATGTCTACTTTATCAGTTGCAGCCAAACTAATTAAGAATAGCTTTTTTAGTTTATTTTCATTCTCTTAGAGGAGATATCTGTATTCAAATCAAATTGGGAAAATATTGATTATTTTTCTTTTAATAGGTCTAGCTAATTATGCTGGTGAAATAAGAATTTATTTGTTTACAAAACTTCTCAATGCCTACAAAGTTTGGATGCTATTGCATGCACACGGGTTAATCTCTGCCAATTTGTGCATGTAATTTTCATTCACCATTCAGTCTAACTTAAGAAATTTCATTTTCCACAATGTTCAGGGTGCACAAGCAAGTAGTGAAGTTGTGTTTGCTGAAGGAGACAGGCAGACATGCACCTCATAGACTGCTACTGTGTGACTTGAATAAAAAAAATCTAAAGGCCCATTATTTTATTAAGTGAAGAAACAGTGGGGTGGTTTTTCTCCTACTATACTTATTTTTTTTTTTGAAGACCAAAGATCTGTTCTAAAAAGATACACAAAGAATTTCACAGGGGTTCTTTTCAGTATTGCTCAGTTTTTCCTTTTTTCTGGTACCATTGAAATAGTTTGTTCTCAATAGTTTAGCTTTGAGATTTTTATCCTCATTACCTCATTATCACAAGAACGAAAAGTGAATAATTGTAGATCTAAGGCACTTCAAGCTTTGATCTAAAGCTTCATCATTGCTATAGTGGTTTGAAAAGCTTACAGGTTCAAATGGCAGCTTTCTGAAGCCACGTGTACTCTGCATTAAGAATAACGTAGCAGTATAGTCTTAATTTGTTGTTGTACTGATTGAGAAACCAAGGGCAACTGTTCTGTGCTGGTGACTAGCCCATGCTTGTTTATCTGTGTGGTCCTAAGTTAAATTCATCTGGTATATTCAGATTTTCTAGAATTTGCATCTCCTTTCACTGGAGTATTGAATGACTAATTTTTAATGCAACAGTACCCAGGTCATTTTTCTGATATTTTTTTTTTCCTAATGATATCTTATACACAAGTTAATGTCAAAGACATTTTATGATGTGGATATTTTCTTTAAACAGCAGTAGGTCATAAGAAATGAACCAAAAAATTCTTAGGAATACTCACTTGAAATTTTTCACACCTCTCCTACTGCAGTGGATTGTTAATGAATTTTTTTTTTTTTAAGTGCAGAGATGGGAAAGAGCCTTATATCTTTGCATGAAATTGAATTGCAGAGATCATCCTGGTAGATTTTTGTTTTCTCTGATGGAAATTATGGTATTTTCTGCCTCTATAAACTTCAGTGATTCAGGGTAAAACATTATCAGACATCCATATTTAACTGTATTCCTGCTGTCCTAGTAGACAGTGATATTTTTGCCAAGGGTTAGGAATGTAGCATGTAAGTCGAAACCGAAGTATGTTTGACGATCAAGATCCACGTTTGTCTAATGAGAAATTCTGTGCAACGTAGTAACTGCAAATTCCAGTATGTTTTGTTGGAACGTTGTCTTTCTTCTTATACATAGATTGCTAATCATGGCAAACCTTGCAGGTCAGTTATGTGGTAAGTGGATACTTGGTTCATTCCTCCAAATTTGTGATCACTTAAGAATATTAAATATGTTAAATACATTATATTTATAAATTTATTTAAAATATATTACTGATATTAAATATATATAACAATACTTAATATAATTATTTATAAATAATTTTCCATTTACAAAAGTATTTCTAAAGGTATGTGTGTTACATGTTATGTAAATATGTAAAGCATAAAACACAGATGGGCTGCTACATACAAGAATGAGTATTAATATTCCAGTTTGCAGGGGTTTTGACCTTTTGGTAACAGCTGTCAAGAATGTCTCTGCTCAAGACTTTTTCTTGAAAATACTCCTTTTGTCCCAAGTGGGAGAAAAGTTTTCTTGCTTTTATGATTGCACTCTGGCAGTGCTTCAAAGAAGTAAATCTGCTGAATTGCTGGAATCTTGTCATCACACAAATGCTGATAAATCTTAGGAGCAATAACTGTTGTCTTTTTTTTTTTTCCCTTTTCTTTTTGCAGATGACATTAAAGTATCTGTAAATGATTTTATTATCAAGGCAACTGCAGTTACTCTGAAGGTAAGCTAATAAATTACTTTTAAAATATATTTTTTATAGTCAACTGCCAAGGAGACAAAAGTATTTTGTGAACCTGTGTGGAGATATGAATGTGATCATAGCGATCGATACATAATTCTGTATTGCATATTGTCAGGTTTTAGGTCTCCTGATAAAATTCTCTGCATGAGAACTTTGTTGTAAAGGTCCACTTACTATAGATAAGAGCTGCAGATAACAGTAGTTGCTATGTCAGCAAACTAAAGCAACGGTCAAGATAAGTCTTCTATTCTTTGTTGCATCTTATTTCTCTTACGATTATAAATAAATATTTATCTAAGTCTTATACCAATCTTGGGTATACCTCAGATGTATTCTGACGGCATATTCAGTGATACCTGCTTTGAAATAAAAATTGTTCAGGCAACCAGTCTTTCCTCATTGCCAAGAACTGTCGTTGTTCCCTTTGTCAGTGTAAAAATTAAATTATTATTATACATCCTGAAGTTAAAATTTAAATTTCATTAGTGTCTTACTTAATCTACGCCAAGCTACAAAGGCATTACAGTAACCATAAGCTATTTGTGTGTTCTCTGTGTGGAACTGGACACATCGCCTTCCAATTTGTGTCTATTGCTTGCTTGGAAAGCATGCCCAGTGCCACTTAATTTCTTGAAACTCAAATGTTACAGAGATACTTCTTTAGGAGAACTTCCATGCTTTGGAACTACCTCCTCTTAGTCCGGGGTGTCTCAAATATAAACACTTGGAAAACATAATGTAAAATTAATCTTATTACCGAACTTACGAAAAGAAAAAACCATGATGGTTTCACTTAAGTGTGGAAGGTGTTTGAAGGGTGTGTTTGAAGGGAGTGTGGTTTTAATTCAGTTTGCAGTTATTTTAAAATTAAGTCATAAGGGGGAGCTTTGACCAGCCTGAAAGCCGGGGAGATTCATGAGGAAATAGTGTCTTTTAGTGATAACTAATACCTGGAGTATAGAAAGATAATTAAGGGGGGCAAACACTTGAACCTTAAAACTGAGTTTCCCCTTGTCATCAAGGCAAACACTACTGTGTTACAAGGAAGGAATGCAGATTTTGAAGCAGTTTGGTATTGCCATGAATTTGTTTCCTATGCCTTCTTGAATGCACAGTGATGACACCTTCTAGCTATATGATAAATAATAAATAAATAAAAATAAATAAATTTTAAAAAGCTGCTATTTTAACTATTTAAAAGCTGAGGGAGGAAGTTATGTTTAAGTTGGGGAACTATTCCCGTTCTCATGGATGTATGGAATTAGTAGAGAGTAGTGGACTTGAATGGACTTGACAAATTTCTAGCCAAACCTGTTCTAAATAGTAACATATAATAGTAAGAGCTATAGATTAATGCATAATTGCAGTCTGGACAGAAAATATACAGGATTCTAGGCAGTTTTATAAGTGAGTACCTGAGAGAAATTCTGGGCGTTAGCTAGGCTAAGAAAAAACTCTACAAGTTACTCAACACCAGCAACAGAAGGAGGGGCTAAATATGTGTACTGTGGTTTTGTTAGATGTGTACATAGCAAGAAGCTTCTTTTTGTGGCCCAGTGAAACCTTACATGAAAATGGTGGCATCCAGAATATACTGTGAGCTGCTAAGTGTGAGCATGGGATGACAGATCTCTGCACCAGAGAACAGGTGAAAGGAACAGGAGACAGAGAGCAAGAGGAATAAAATATTAGGTTATGTGTTTTTTTTTTTTTTCTGAATGGGTCGTTAATATTGTGTTGATATGAAAGTAATCAATTCTTCTATCCTATTGCTTTGTTACAAATCTACGCTAGCTTTTGCTTGACTATTAAAATAATAAACTTAAAAAAACCCAAACAGATTTAACTCAGTATATCAGGAAGCAAGTTCATGATCAAGCTCATGTCTCAGCTGTTTTCTGTCATCATTTCAGAAAAAGGTGTGGGCTACTTGTTTAAAAAAAAACACTCTCACTTCCATCTACACCTCCCCACCCTGAAATTTGGTGGTGTAAATACATTTGCAAGTTTAAATTCAAGGCAGTTGTATCGACTCTTTTCTGGGCACTGTTCAATCCATAATTTGTTAATATTTTCTTCCTGAACAATGAAAAATGTGCTCTCCTAGCTTTAATGAGCCAACTGCAGCTGGTTTAACAGTTTACAATTGGTTGGTAAACACCTCAAGATCCTGCTTGTATCAGTTCTTTAACATGCCAAGCTTCTCCTTCACACCTGTAGGATCACAAGTCCAGTATTGAGTTCTGTGGTTTGGCTTGGTCTTGCCATTTGAAAGCCAGAATTTTGTGAGTGTGCCAGTGGGTCCACCAGATGATAGCCCATTAGAGCAATTCTGTCTTTCTGGAACAAGGAGGCCTAAGTAAGGATGCAGGAAGGAACTTCCAGGCTGATATCCTCAAGTGGTTGGGCTTAGTAACAATAGCTCCTATGGCAGCTGTCCTTTAAAAATAAGTCTTCCATAGCTGAAGTGACAAACTCTGTCCCTGCCATCTCTTTTGAATACCTTATATAGATAGTCATAGTTGTACAGCACCCATACATCATACAAGTGTGTGTATTGTGGGACTTCTGAAGTTTATTCAGCTTGCAAAGAGGAGTACTAATAATTTTTTTTTTTTTACTGTACATTCTGGTGTTGAAGAATAAGAATTGAGGATATTGTCACACCACTTCTAGGAGTGCAATTAATTTGGATAGACAGAGATAGGTAGTGGAGTTAATTTTGATAGAGATAGATAATAGTTACTTTTGATAATGTATCCCTCCCATACTTTTTTTCTGGAATACCTTCTTCACTAGGAAGTCAACTTCCAAATTCCTTATTTCATTAAGGTCATTAAATACTGATCTTAGATTTATTAGACATAATACCTTCACAGTATCTATGACCAGCTTACCTGAGGCTTCACCTATATGTTGGGGTATTTTTTTCCCCTGAGCTGTTTCAGCTTTAAATGATAAGCTCAAAAACCTCATGGAAGTTATCAGTAAACATCTTGATTTTTTTTGATTCCACTAAAAAAAAAAAAATTGGATACATTTTAGGAGAACCTTATCTGCATAACAGTGTGTGCAACATGTTCTATTTGTAGCTTGTTTTATTGAGAGTCATGCCTGAGACAGAAGTAGAAAACAACACTTGGGTATATATAGTAGGATAACCACTTGCATGGTTTTTAATTCAATATTTTGTGATTTATTTTGGGTAATTGCACTGCTTTGAAGCTTTACGTGCTGGGAAACCATAGGGAGGTATCAGTGAAAGAATTTGTAGGCTTTTGTTTTGTTTGTTTGTTATTTTTTCTGGCAACACCAATAAAATTTCTGGCCATCCTGCCATTTTCAGCATACATTTTTGCTTTTTGACAAAGTAAATTTAAATAAAATAAGGGCAAGCTAATTAATTTGGTGAATGCCTGTACATAACTATGTGTCTTAATATCCTTTTTCTTAACACCTGATTGCACCGTTGTTCTTTGAACAGCTGTCTCTGTTTTTTTTATTCCCTGTCTCCCTTTTAGCAAATGCCAGATGTGAATGTAACCTGGGATGGAGAAGGCTGCAGGCAGCTGCAGTCCATTGACATATCTATTGCCGTGGCAACAGACCGAGGTCTCATTACACCAATCATAAAAGATGTTGCTGCCAAGGGAATAAAAGAAATTGCTGCCTCTGCAAAGGTAGGTCTTCCGTGTGCAGTAGGCTGAGGAGTAGAGTAGCTACAGTGTTTTTTGTAGCAGAAAATGTACTGTGACCCAGATACACATCAGTAATAGCAAGGGCAGTGGATCTAAAGCAGTGTCAGCATTACTTATACTTCAAAATTATTCCTAATTTTGCAACTCTGTTTTTAATTAACAGTAAGTTAGTCATCATGTTATTTAGTAGAATGCTGGCTAGACTGCTTGAAAAATAAACCTATACAGACTTCTGTAATTTAATGTAATTGTATTTCTATAATCCTCAATAATGCTAGATAATGTTAATTTCAGTAGTATTTCCGGTCTTTGAGTTTGTGATTTTGGTTTTTTTGGTGTTTTTTTTTTTCCTTCCCTTTCCCAGAAATTTGCTTGTATCTATGTTACTCTCCTTACAATTATACAATTATGGAACTTATTTCTGTTTGCATTTTTTCAAGATGCAATTCAGTTGAGGATGTCATCCTATGGATAACATTAAACTCCTCAGACTAATGAGCAGTATTTTGCCTAGACCAGCTGCCAGTTAGAGTGATCTGTGGCCATTGTTGCCAGACAGAGGAGTATTTTGTGGCAGGCAAAAGTACAATAGATGATGAAATGGCTCAACACAAGCCTTTTTCGTCACATAGTGAGTGCTAATCGAAGGCCTACAGCATCTGAGGAATGCAATGGGCTTAAAACTGCTGCAAGGGCATAAAACTGTCCCCAAAGTAGACACCAATGCACTGTGTAAATTCTTGCCAAAAACTACAGCAATTGTATTAGTCTGTGTGTAGCAGAAAAAGGTGTGTCATGCCACAAAACATGCATAATTGGATGGTTTTAACATTTTTCCAGTCCATATTGTTTACTTTATGTTGAATGTGCTGTAAAAACAATTCCTGTCACTAATATAATAGCCAGCAGAGGACAGTCAGCTGAGATTGTTCTGGGATTAGTGATAGAATGTCGAGAAGAAAAGCATTATAAGAAGTGAAGGATGCCATGCTTTCCTTATCATCCCCAATACCTGTAATGCTGTGCAGTGTTGAAAACCTCTCATCATAAATCACAGTGTCCTGTAGTTCTCGTGATGGAAATGCAATCTTGCATCATGTTTAATGTGGCCACGATAAAGTGAGCATTATCCTTCTGTTTCAAATGGGATATGTGTAATGTAAGTCACACTACTCACTATAAAAGACACTGGGTTACATAGATTGCAAGTGTCCACACTAACACAATTCTGCTTTTCATTTCTTCACTGAATTAGTGAAATAAATATGTAGCTGGCATGCACATGGGGGAGGTACAAACTAAAACTGCAGCTGCTTCTCTGTCAGTCTCCCTGTAGTTTGGCAGGCACTTCCTTTGTGTAATTGCTTATATGTCCTCTTCTGCTGCATGTTAATTTTAACTTCTTTCCAGGTCATGTACATCTTTGTACCATATTTTCATCATTCAAATAATGCAATTGCACAAATGCATTATGCTTATATTGACCCTGTTGTGTGAATGTTGTTCCCATGGCTATTGTCTTCTGGTTCACTAATTATTCAGAGATGAGTAAAAACCTAAAATATAAAGCAAAGTGTCCTTGTAACTTGGACACCTTTATTATGAATTTAAAAGTTTTGTAAAACTCTGGTATTATCTTAGAACATAATATGAACTTCTTAGGCTGTATTTGAACATTTCTTCTGTTGTATTTAGAAGTCTCACAAATTAAATGCAGATCACAGAAAGGGTGGTCTTAAAGACACCCTTCAAAAGGTAGTTAAATGGTCAGCTGGAAAAAATACATTCTTTCATTGCGGTACAAAGGTCTGAAATGGTATGTGTCAGTTTCTTTAAACAAGTCTGTTAAGAGGAATACTGTGAATTTGTCTCATCGGTATTTTGCAGGATAATCTAAAAACACTAGGGAGAATGGTGGTTCTATTTTGAAAAGTGGAGCAACATTGGTAAGATGGGAGAACGGTTTTTATTGAACAGCCAGTACTGCTGGGAAAATAAGTTTTGTGTGCTAGTCTCTTTGCCATAATGTTATAGATAGAACAATTTTGCTGAGGTTCTTCACTAAATCCGAAGTCAAGTGACTTTTTAAAGTCTGTATGGTATTTAAAATGTCTTACTGAAGTAAAAAGAATTTGTCTATTACAACACACTATTTGTTTTTTCTGTGCCTCTTTTTCTTCTTTCACTTTCCTTAGGCTCTAGCAAAGAAGGCTAGAGATGGAAAACTGTTACCAGAAGAGTACCAGGGAGGATCTTTTAGGTAAAACTCTCTAGCAGCATTTAATACATGCAGCATGGATTCAGAACTGTTTTATCCTCACTGTTCTATTGTGTTTTAATGCATTGCTTTTAAAATCTTGCTCCACTTAGGACAAAACTTCATTTGATGATTCTGAGGGCCAAACCTATGCTGTCTTGTATCAGGGTGAAGCAGTTATCTTGGTTCAGGTTAAATTCATTTGTACTTGGCACTGGTGAGGCCAACTTGAGTACTGTGTTAAATTTTGGCTACTTCCCCCAAAAAAGACACTGGAGTGCTGGAGCTAGTCCAGAGAAGGGCAAGAGAGCCAAGAAAGGTCCAAAACACAAGTCTTGTAAGGAACAGATGAGGAAGCTGGGGTTGTTCAGCCTGCAGAAAGGGAGGCTCAGGGGATCCTTATCACTCTCTACAGTTACCTGACAGGAGGTTGCAGTGAGGTGACGGGGTCAGTCTCTTTTCCCACGTAATAAGTAACAGGAGGAGAGGAAATGGCCTCAAGTTGCAACAGAAGCAGTTTTTGCTGGATATTAGGAAAAATTTCTTCATGAAATGGGTTGTCAAGCATTGGAAGAGGCTGCTCAGGGAAGTGGTTGAGACCATCCCTTGAAGTGTTCAAAAAGCATGTCCATGTAGCACTTTGGGACATGTGGTGGTGGCAGTTGATTGTTGGATTTGATGATCCTAAAAGTCTTTTCCAACTTGATTTGGTGATTCTGTGATTCCAGAAGTGGATGCAGTACTCCAGGTGAGGTCTCACCGGAGCAGAGGGGGCAGAATTACTTCCCTTGACCTGCTGATCACACTGCTTTTGATGCAGCCCAGGATACGGTTTCTCCTGAGCTGCGCGCATGCACTGCTGCCTCGTGACCAGCTTTTCATCCACCAGCACTCCTAAGTCCATCTCTGCAGGGCTTCTCTTGATCAGTTCCCTCCGCAGCCTATATTGATATCAGGGATTACCCTGACTCAGGTGCAGCACTTTGCACTTGGCCTTGTTGAACTTTATGCGATTCCCATGAGCCCAGTTCCTGAGCTTGAGCAGGTCCCTGTGAATGACATCCCATCCCTCAGGTTTGTCAACTGCACCACTCAGCTTGGTGTCATCTTCAAATTTGCTGAGGGTGCACTCTATCCTACCATCTGTGACACTGATGAAGACATTACACAGCACTGGTCCCAGTACAGACAGACCCATGAGGGTCACAACTTGTCACACACAGGTTGCCTAGAGAGATGGTAGCTGCCCCATCCTAGAAACATTCAAGGTCAGGTTGGAGGGGGCTCTGAGCAACTTAATCTAGTTGAGGATGTTCATTGCAGGGGAAGGTGGACTGGATGACTTCTAAATGTCCCTTTGAACCAAAACTATTCTACGATTCTTTACAGTGTAATTGTTTTTTCACTCTTTACCATAATTATAACCCAAAGGAGGAAATGGTGTGTCAGCTTTCTCAACTGACAATCTGTCACAAAAGAGTCCAAGCCATTTCTAATATACCATTTCACAGTTGGTGACGCAGACAGAAATGTTCAAGGGGGAAAGGCATAATGATACTTTCCTGTGCCTGAGTGATACCTAGATGTCCAAACTGTGTCACTTGGTGGATGTCAGCAGCCACTGTAACTTCAAGTTGTGAGATTCAGTCTAGAAGACATTTGGCTTGGAACAGGGATAAGCAAAGTGTATTTAAAGTTATCACTTTGCTGGCCTACTTTCTGCCTTTAGTGTGTGCTGTGCAAGAATATATTGCTGTAAAGAAATGGGACTTTTAAAAAGGTGCATTATTTGTAATTGCAAAAATCCCAAACTCTTGAGAGTCTAAATGTGCTCAGCTGAAAACATTTCAGATCTATTTTTAACTTCATGGGTTTTGCCTTAGAAGAGATTTAGACCATTGTACTCATTGAATATAGATTATTTCTTCTAGGGAATGTGCAGTTTCTGATGTTACTGATAATTCTTTTCTCTTTCATTCAGTATCTCCAATCTGGGCATGTTTGGCATCAGTGGTTTCACTGCAGTCATAAACCCTCCTCAGGCCTGCATCCTAGCTGTGGGCCGAGCAAGACCAGAGCTCAGGATTGTGGAAGATGAAGAAGGGAATGAGAAACTTGAACAGCATCAACGCATGACAGTGACTCTTTCAAGTGATGGTCGAGTGGTGGATGATGAACTGGCTTCAAAGTTTCTGGAGACCTTGAAAGCCAACATAGAGAATCCAATACGACTTGCCTTATGTTGAACTTGGTGAAGATTGCTTCCTGTTTTGACAGCATAGATAACTATTATATGCTTAGGGTTGTTTTTCTGCATAGAGGAGTAAATAGCTGGAGACGGACAGTTAAAAATTATTAAATTATGAATTAATGTGAAACACTTAAGTTTCACGCTTTTAGTCTTCTGTAATGACCAGGTTTTGTACTGTAAAGCTAAAAGACTTTAATGTTAACTTACTACATTTCTTTAAACTTTTAGTACCAGTGGCACATGTTTGCATAGGAAAGTCAGTCTCATCTGTAAAGAAAAACTCAATAAAACTTTATGGAATTTAAAAGGGAATAATAGAATAATTTGGGTTGGAAGAGACTTTTAAAGGTCATCTAGTCCGGCTCCCCCTGCAATGAGCAGGGACATCTTCAGAGCCCTGTCCAACTGACCTTGAATGTTTCCAGGGATGGGACATCTACCACCTCTCTTGGCAACCTGTGTTTCACCACCCTCATTGCGAAAATCTTCTTCCTTGTATCTAGTTTGAGTCTACCCTTTTTCCGTTTAAAACCATTACCTCTTGTCCTGTTTTAACAGGTCCTGCTAAAAAGTTTGTTCCCAGCTTGCTTAGAAGCCCCCTCTAAGTATTGAAAAAAACGCAAGTTAATTGTGCCAGCGGTGTTCTCATGGAGGTCCCAGTATGAAAGGTCAAATTTTGCACAGTGAATATTTGCTGATTAATGCTGTTCTTTGCATGGTTTGAATATAGGTAAAAGTAGAAAGTGTTTTGTCATCAGTGTATATTGAATTGTAGCTTGGAGGCTCAAGTGCAGTGGTCTGAAGTTTAAATTAACAGAAGTGGTTTGGTATTTTTATTGTATGTAAATATGGAACCACATATTGTATGTATTTGTTATAAAATAATTGTGTTTACAGGACCTCATGAGAATATAAATTGTCAGTAGAATTATGGGAGTGTGTCTTATTCTGGTTTGTGCAAGTACTTTTTTTTAAATGATTTGTAGGACCTAATGGCAGCAGCTCATCAACTAAAAAGCTAATTGCAAGACAAAACCTTTAGTTAATACTGTTTTGAGAGTTTTTGATAAATGAGCTCGCTTCTTTAGCTTGTTCTGATATTGTAAATGTCATAGATTGTTAATCTGACAGTAGGGAGAGATTCTGATTACCAGATCTAGTTTACTGCGCAGCAACGCACATATCCATTCTGTATTTCCAGGAGTTAATCACTGATAAACTATATTAAAGATTGGGTGCTGAGGATTAATTTGCAATTTGAAATGGTTAACTGTTAATTTTTCCCTGGCTTTTTGTCAATCCCATATTACTTTAGGAAGAAAACCCAATATTTATGTTTTCCTTACTGTACAATAAGCTCTCATTATTCACATAACTAAATCTGCTCTGCCCTAGGAGTTTTGGAGACAAATTGAAAACCTGATATACTGCTCTTCATTTTTGTACGTGGTGCTCTAGTGGTGCTTTGTGCTCCCCAGCGTTGTATGTTCTGCTCCCACAGTTAAGGGCTGTGTGGCTGATGTTTGCAGCTGTAGTTTTGTGTGTGTGTGTGTTCACATCGTGGGAGTCAGTGTTTTACTTCTCCCTTTGGAGCCACTGGAAGGCGCTGTTGTATGTGAGTATGCCGTGTGCGTCCTGCCTCATTTGTGCGGGTGCTCAGCCAGCCATTGTGCTTTCCCTGTAGACAATGCAGCCTCTTCTGCAGGTTAAATAAACCTTTGTGTAACTTTTGAACTGGGCAGATCTCAGGAGGGCTAATACAGGCTTGAATTCCAATTTCTTTACACCTGCTTGCTTGCCAGCATTGTCAGTTGAAATGGACATAACTCATCAGTCATCAGCCTGTGAAGGAAATGTATGGAATTCAGACATGCAATAGCAGTCAGGTCTCGTTAATTCAGAGTAAGAGTACTGTTTGATAACATCTTCCATTTAAACATAAGTAAGGCAACAAATACCTACTCATGTAGCTTAAAATAAAACGTTCAATATCTCCTTGATGATTTGGGGTAAAATGTCCTGGAAAGGGAATCATATGTGGTGGTTATGCTTACTTTTGAACAAAATTTGCCTCAAAGTAAAAATTTCACAGATGAAAAATACAGCTTTTCACGTTTTATTCTTTCAAATGTCTCCTCTCAGCCTGTTCCAAGCTAGAAATACAATGAAGACATCTACTTTCTTGAGTAATTTAGAAAAAAACCTAAGGAGTATACTAATATCTGCTGGAAATGTGTGCCTTTAGGATAGTTACTATCTTTATATCATTTTCCTTTGCAGGACACATGATTAGAAAAAATAAAGGGTAGCTATTTTGGACTTTGTCATTGCCTACAAATCTTGAACTGTGTGTCACACTTTAATCCCTAATTACACTGTCAGAATATTTGACTTTTGGGGATTTTTTTTTTTTCTGTAATGTATGCCTTATGAAATAAAATTTCTATATCTTCCTGCTTGATACTGTATCCTGCACTCCAGGATACAGTTGGCCCTTTTGGCTGCCAGGACACACTGCTGACTCATATTCAATGATGTTCTGTTCCATTTGTCCTTAAAATGTTGAATGCATAGAGTGGAGATTCCTCTTAAGTCAGTATGGCAACTGCGTCCATAAGAGAGTAAACAAAAAAAATAATCCCATCAGCTGAAAGTACCTTTCAGCATGTTCTTAGTTAAGTGTAAGTTTTAAACTTATAACCTCTGGGGATTATTTCTTTGTAGTCCTGCTTGAGTAAAGCAGGAGGATGTTCATGGTAGCCTGCTAGAGATGTGTAAAAACATGCTTATCTGTAAGTGTTCCAAGAAACACAGATACCTAGGATTTGGGTGAAATCACGTGTGTTGATTAAACTGGGGTGAAAATCAGTTACTGGAAGCTCGACTGGCAACTCTGCATGGTTGCTTTACAAAATCTGCCTAACGTTGTGTCAGTGTAAAACCATCACTGTTTGCTTGAATTCAGTTTGCACTCCTTCCCTTTTACGTCAATTTTGCTTGAACTTGAAGTATCAGAGTAAATAATTATTCAGATACAATAACCATATTGTTCTTCCCTCGCTCCACAATAATGGTTCTACCTGGCAAGTTAAACATTTGTGTCATTATGAGAAATAACTAGCTGGAAAATGACAGACTTTTCTGTTTGTTCAGTACCTGTAGTAAGGAAAATGATTCATGCTATGTTAATGAATACCGCTTTTTATCTCCTTAAAAGATTGGAGATCAAGAGGAGATTCTCTTTTATAACTTGGAAGTTTCTCTCACGTGGGCTAGACCTAAATAGGAAGAAAGGGCATCTGAGAACATTTTTATTTCTGTTCACTGTTGTATGAAAAATATGCTGAATTGTTAGAGCAGCAGGTCTCCTGTCCTACAGTTTTGTGATTTTTGTGTTGTCTATATAACATTCATTACCACATGCTGTTCACTTCACTTGGCAAGGGATCCAAACAATTGAACCTTGCAGGATACTCTCCATTGACCTAGTGATCAATTAATTCCTGTTTCAGCTGCCTATCTTAAGAAAATAGCTGTGTTTCGTTTTGCAACTTTGATGCACTTTTAATTTCGTCTCTGCCAAATAAATTATAAGCTTAAATATCCGTGGAGGGTGTGTGCTTGTGCAGATGCTCGTACTTGCTGTGTCATGTCCCAGTCTCCATAAGCAACGTGCACTGACTTTTTTTAGGTTTCAGTAGACAGTAGTACTCTGTTTCCTCTTCCTTGCATGGAGAATAGCAACTGTAGCAGGTCCTTTGGTTGATCAGGAAGGGAACTCTTCCTACACTTTTCTAAAGTTTGAGAATTCTGGCTTACAGTGTAAATTTCAACCAAATATCCTGAGAGCAATGCATTGCTTACTTCCTCATTCTAGAATTCTAGGCAAGGATTCTAGAGCATCTTTACTGTTCTCTTTACTTTCAAATGAAAGTAATATTAATTTCTTCCCCTCCCCCCCCCCCGAATATTTAGAGAGAAAAGTAATGTATGGAGTTATTTTGGAGTCAGTTGAGAAGTTAATTGGTTGTGCCTACAGAAATTTATTAGATGTTATTTTGCATTTCCTTTTTGACAAGTATGGAAGAGTTACAGCTTTTTCAGGTAGGTTTGTGGTCTTTCCTCTCTCCATTCCTATTTTGAACCTAATATAGCTATCATAGTGTTCAAAGCAGGTGCTATCTTAAGCTTATAACAAGTGTTAACAATTCTGAGTGGCTCCCAGTGTGAAGCAGAAGAAACATTTTGGGATATTCCAGGTTATCCTAAGTAAAGCTGTAAGGTACCTTCTTGGCTGCTATTCATATATATTTGCATGCTGTCTGACAGGCTTCAGCTACTCTGACAGCTGCAGGTGGAGGCTACAAAGAGAGGGTCTAGGCCCTCTTATTGAAATGGGTACTATGAATAAGGAGAAAAAAATGTGATAATTGAAATTGAGCTGTTGGGACTATCTCAAATATTATTCACGTGGTTTAAATATTAGTTGTGGTCTGAGCTAGGAGAGAGGCATTTTAGCCAAAGGCTACATTTGGGCAGTTGCAGGAAGAAATCTTTAATTTTGAAGACAGTCCCTATTGTGCAGGGTAGAAAAGACAAAAGAAAGTTAAAAGTAAGTAGTCTTTTTCATCTGTACTTGAACAGCTTTCTTTGTATAAGCGTTATATCTATTTTATTAGTTATCCAGGAATGCCTGGATTTCTTTAAGCCGTAAAGTATAAGCATGACCTCTGTCCTTGTAATTGGGTTAGGCAAACTCTGAAGGAAATAATACTTCAAAATTTTATGATTCTGTGATGCGTTAAGGAAGGGGATTTTACTTCTTGGGCCTTCTTTTAAAGGAGGTGCATGCTTTGCATGCGTGTGTGTGCCCCTGTATAACCTCTGCATGTGTGGGGATGGATTGGTAAAGAGGGCCAGCTGCTGTTTCAGCCACGTTTGTTAAAACCTTTCAGATCCGGGCTACAGGAGGAACAGAGGCAAGCTTCTGAATTCCCCTGCTGAGACTTAAACATTTCTGCTTTAATGTGTGTGTGCCAATGTGTGTGTGTACAACACTGGGGGAGGCCTAAGAGAAACCTGCCCTGATTACATTTGAAGAAAGTAATTGCAACATTGCATCTGTTGCTCAAACACAAGTGATGAGACAGGTGCAACGATACCTAGGAGCAAATACTCTTGGCTAAGAGAGAGACCCTGAAGGATCTATGAAGCAATCTTTGTGTGAGAACGCAGCCTTCCCTTATTTGTGCCTCATCACGGTATTTTGGGGACTCTGGTGGTAGAAAGAGTTCTGTGAAAATAATTTG